TGTTTTGGGTATTTTACTTTGAACTTTTGCAAATCGATATTTATCACTCATTCGTTGTAATTCTGGAGATTTTTTTAATAATTTTCTTGATTTCTGATTTAATGTTACATTTTTGTTTTCTATTTTTTTCATATGTGGACTAGGTAAGATTAACGCACACATTCGATCAGTAGTTATTTCACGTGGAAGTTTTTGATGTATTGCTGAATTATCACGTTTTAAATAATCAATTGGTAATAATTCACAATGTGTTGAAGAATTATTCCTCAGTGCAAGATTAGGACTTCGACATAATACTTTATAGCTTAAACTTATTTGGAAACTTGTAATATTGTATTGATTTTTTTTGGTTACTAGATAAAGTCCAAAAGTTCTCGGCTTCTTTAATCTGACTATGGGATTTTTACGTGGTTGACGATTTACATTTTGTTGTTTTCTTACTGAATGATGCAAATTATGGACCCCATATATCTTAGGTAAATTGAGAGATCTTGAAGTAACAGTTGGCATAAAATTGTCTAAAACCTTATCTCGAAGTGCTATAATTGCATATATATATATATACTAAATGATCATGTGATAAATATCAAAATTTTATACTTTTACAAAACCTACAATGGATCAGTCATACCACAATGATCAAGTTACCATACTTATCAGATTTCATTTCCCTGTTAGTTATGTCTTTCGAAGTACATTTCAATTTAATTAAGTTATTGATAATTTTCTATTAATTATTTTGATAGTTATTTTATTGGTAGTTTACTTGCATTAAAGTATAACAGGTTTCATTATTGAAATAATGATGTATGTTTCAAAGTTATGTTTAATGATTAGTGATAATCGAGTGAAAGCACAGAGTGTGGTTCAGAAAATAGTAGATTCTTGTTTTCACCAACGGTATCAGTTTCACAACAATTGACTTACGTAGATTGTTAAGCACATAGTGAATACAAACTTTTTATTGCTTTATGTTTTACTTTTGACAATTATGTATAATAATTAAATCATTTAATTGTGTAAGCTTTATCATGTGTTACAAGTAAATAATTAATTATAGCCAAGTAGAAAATGTGATTTGGTTCAATTGAATTTGAATAATTAACTATTTTCTCATCATACTGATACAGATATTTTTTAACAAAAAAGGGTATCTCAGTAGTTGAGATCATCAGTCAATTGAAGCTAGATCAACATGGAAAACCTGGAAGCACTGAACGGCCGTTTTGTCCTATTGTTGTGGTCTAACTTCAATTGACTCATGATTTTAACTATTGAAATTACTATAATATCCACAAAACCTCTTCTGACATTAAAAAAGGTATCCTTTTCTGTTTCATCAAAATTTAATAACTGGCCGGATACCGTCAGCAACAGCCTACTGTGAATGAGAACAAACCAACTTCCAGATGAAGAGGAAATTGGGAAAAGACGATGGAAATGGATAGGACGTACATTACGGAAATCACCAAACTGCATCATGAGGCAAGTCCTAACTTGGAATCCTGAAGAAAAGCTGAAAAGAGGAAGTCCAAAGAACACATCACGTCGGAAAACAGAAGCAGATATGAAAAGGATGAATAACAACTGGAAAGCATTGCCTAGGACAGGGTTGGATGGATTGTGCTGGTGGGTGGCATATGCTTCTCCACAAGGAGTAAAAGGCGTAAGTGGTAATTCACATTTATTTGTAAAAAAAATAATAGGAATATTTGAAAATAAATGAACAATGTACAAACAGAAAGAAAGAAACATTTAAAAGGAAGAATGTATTTGTAAAATTTCAGCGAAAGAATTTGAAGTAAATCTAACGTTTCGCCCGGCAACCTGGTTCAAGCTTTTTCAGGGAAAGAAAGAAAGTTCCACGGGATTTTTTTCATTTTTCTGGATTGTTGGATATGCTATTCAATAGATTTTTAATGTTCAGTTTTAAGTACAGTATTAATTTCTTTATATTCATACTAGTAACGTAACCATAGGCGGTAATTTTATTGTAAATATTGTCACTTTATGGAAAAAGTATATATATTACAGGTTTATTTATGAGAAGACAAAAAGTATATTAAGTAATCAATTGAATGCATAAATATACTTACCCTACTGTGATTTGATTAACTAGCTTTAATAATCTAAGTATTATATATCCAGAAGAAGAATAAGTGAACAGTAACCACTAAGATCTATTTATGGACTGTCATTATATGTATATTCTTATTGTATAAATACTGAGTAACTATATTGTATGTATATTCATATTCCTCTGGTTAAAAGCGTCTATTTGACCTATTGTTCACTATTATACGAATTACAATTCCTAACGTATTCCCAACTTGCAATCGCAGCCACTTTTCGACTTGATCTTGTATAATTGTTATTTTCTGTTTTTTCTGGTATGATGTGGTATGGTCTGCATGTATATAAATCAAGTACGTCTGAAATACACGAATCATAAAGTGAAGGTTGATATCAGTGTTTTGGACTAAACCAACTGAATTAGACAAGAAGGTACCATCTCAGTGGACCAATACGAACTCAGAGTTGAATCTAGGCTGCTTGTACTGGTTTATGCGTCGTTGGTCTGGTCAGAAAGTCGGTGTTCGAATTGGCGACCAGTCACGTGATATATTCGCAGGCCGTAAGCACATAACAGTAAGAAAACCAACGTATTTCATCAACTTAACTCTTGTGGATTTTCTGACCCCCCCCCCTAAACTAACAGTCATTCATATCTTATTTTAGTAAAATAGTTAAAAATGTGAATCAATGGTTTCGAACTTTAGTTAAGGATATCTTCATTCTTCAAATGTTCGGACTTAAAAGTAAAAGTGAATTGAGTAAAAAACAATTAACAATATTTAATAGATGAATACCTTGTAACCTAGTAGGTACACCTCATTGAGTGAACAATATATAAAGCACTTTATGTGATTTTTTATACGATTTAGTTAACTACAATTTTTTCTGTTTACATTCATTGAGTACGTTTGTGGACATCAATAACCATGTCATCAAGAAGAATCATTGATTTCAAGTGTTATTTCTCGCTCTACCTAAGTCATAAATATAACTTGTACCTTGTCAATCTGTTGTTTAATATGATTGACAACTATTTACAACTTACTTGTCGTTAACATTTTCCAAATTGTATCGATGGTCTCCTTTTATTCTCACTTAATTATTATTAACATTACATTTCAAAAAGAACTTTGAGTTTCCTATATAGATAATACGTGATCAATCATTTGTATAGAAACTTTTTAAACTTCGTTACTAAATTACACCTGGGAATATTGAGATTATTATACTCATATTTATCATTGAAGTACTCACGTGATCATTTACTACTCGCTACTAATTTCCAAATTAACGTACTTCTCACTAATTCATTTTCTGGTTAATTAATGCTAAAATGACTGTCACTTGTAAAACAGGTGAATCCATAATTAAAAGCTAATTGATATAAAATGATTCTACATTGAATTCGCTTGAGTTTAAATAGGGATATGCTATATGCTAATTACGCCAACAGACATAAAGAGTATGTAACACCAATCATAGGTTAAGTGGCTAGCAGCAGAAATGGAAATAAAAAAGAATTGTGAAAATCATACAGAATGTAAAAGACGATTGATGGAAGATTTGCAAATGAAGCATTTAATGTATGGTTCTCAGATTTTACAAAGACATTCTGTAATTTTTTATGAAATAATAAATTTGTCATTTCCATTGCTCGTTCATTACAAGAATACCTATACCTTACTTTAGGCCTATGTATGGTTTACGTTACGAGTCTACCTGAATCAGATAGCTATCAAAAACCAGGAACATTTGAACAGATATTTAGATCTAATATGAGACTGCTCAGCAGTGAGCATCCACGAAACTTTGAAGAAACAGCTTTCCAGTTCTTGGTTTTTAACGGCTGCTTAGATAAGACCCTAAAATTCAACAGATTTAATAAAACCTGTATACCGATATTAATTTATTTATAAATACTTTTACTTAGAAATCTTCTACCTAACTAACCAAATAATGCATAACCTAATGAGTTTAGAATTAATCCCAGTTGGAATTATTTCTAAATTAGCTATACTAATTGGTCACAAGATCTTGAAGGAAAGTTCTTTATTTCATCATAAAAACTTATATCACAGTTTTTATGTGAATATTGTACTTTAAATCAATATGTCTGAAATATTCGATTCAATCTTTGTGTAGATTAGGTATATTGCCCCAGAGTGAAATACAACTTTTCACGACTGATCGCTTCATTATGCATAAACCAACTACTTTTGTGGAGCTTCTATCTCATTCTTTCACATCCCGTCAAATAAATGGAGAGATTTATGTCTAAACCAACAGCTTATTATGGAAACTTTGGCTATTCACAACACTACAGATGCCTAATTCACTTGAATGATCATGTATTGCCCACATTTCATATATTCTTTCTTTTTTTTCATTAAAATTTTACATATTAAAACTTTGGAAAATTTTCAAACCACAACTGGGCCTTCTTTCCTAGTTCTATCCAATTGTTGTTCATTCTTCTCATGTCTCTTCCCATTTCTCGGCGTAATGATCTCTTTAATCTACCTCTCCTCCTTTGGCCTTGAGGATTTCAAGTGAGGGCTTACCTTGTGATGCAGTTGTGTCCTATCCACTTCCAGCGCCTCCACCTGATTCCTACCACCGTTGAAATCTGAATTGTTCTCTCCCACAGTGTATGGCTAACGGACAAGAAGTATTTCGCGTTGACAACTGTTAATAAACTCTTGTATCTTCTGGATCATGGCTTTCGTAGTTCTCTAAATGCTTGAAAATAATTGGAAAGGTGAGGCCAGGACAGAGCATATTAGAGATTATTGGTCGACGGCCTATGCTCCGCGAGGAGTAACAGATGTAAGTACTTTAAAACATATATATTTTTAAACAATAAAAATCTATATGTAATTTGCTTTATGATTCCGTGGATAAGTTTAAATATAAAACAATCTATTAGTTTCATGATTCTCTATTTTTCTATTATTGAATTACAGAAAAGTAAAAATAACAAGAATTCACATAAAATACCATTACAATGTTTCTTGAAAATTTTCTTAAATATTTTAGAGAATTTACTTTCTCAAAATTAGATATTCATAAACTATCGATACCTATAAGTTATTACTTTGTAAATATTTTTTCACAAATTTATACTACTACTTATAAGTAGTTGAACTTTACATTCATATAAAGTTGACAAAATTATATCACATTAATTTTTGATGTCATTGGAAAACATTATAGATCTGTGATTTAAAACACCGAAAGATGAATAGAATCAACAGTGTTTTTTAAATAGAAAATAATGTAGAACATCAAAAGAGAAATTTAATTTGTGCTTCATTGAACAGAACTTAAGTTAAAACGAAGGTAACATCTCTATCTACATACAGAAATATACATCATTGATTTACATATAATTTACTTGTAAATTATGCGAAATTTTGTAATAATTCACAAGTAATGAAGAAGTTCTAAAACTAAATACACTTGACAGCAAATTTTTAACAAAACTAACAATTGGCAACAATTGACAATTTCGTTTCTAAAAATAAACTAATAACCATATGGAGATATTTTATTCATGGTAATAATAGTTGAGATTTATTGAAATGCATGGTGGGTTCTTAAAAAAAACAAAACGAAGCATCTGACAAAACATTATATATAAATGCTTTCTGTTCTTTAAATATGTGGTGAAGATGTTCGAGTTGATGAAAAAGAAATCTTAGGAATACCATCAACAATTTCTTGTTGTAATTTGTTATGATTATTATTTATATTATAAATATTGTTATTGTTAATTGTACGAGAAGAATTTATATACTGCACTTGATCACTAGGACTAGATAATCCATGATTTACCAAATTATTTGGCATTTTTGACAAAGAAGAATCAAATTGTCTTGGACGAATAGCTGATTTGGTTGAACAAGATAAGAGAGAATTAGGATTAGATTGTTTACAACTTGATGATAGCTGTTTTGGACGTGCAGCAACAATTCGTGCACGGATTCGAGCTTGTTCACGAAGTAGTTCACTTTGTTCTAATTCGAGTCTAAGAGAGTGAGAGATAGGAATATAAAAGAAATTATCAGTGACTGACAATGAGATAAAAACAATTTTACTTTACTATTATATAGAAAAATAAAGACGACATTAATTCGATTGATTTTCATAAACATATTTTCTAGTAGTAACTAGTTATGAGGAACTATTTCGGAATTATGCTGTTTATAACATTCATCTTCACTTCCAAACTGATTTCACTTTAACCACATCTTTTATTATTCTATAATAAGTTCGATGTAGTGATTCAAATGAAATAACCTCGTATCCGTATAGAGAACTTACGAGGAGAGAAATATATTAATCGCCGAAGTACTCTCACTTGAATTTCATCGGTATTTATGTTTGCCATAGTTTGTGACCATTTTGTAAGGGTTGTTGAAGGAATTGAGCGGAAAACGCACAAAATTAGTCAGTCAAAGCAAATCGTGAATATATATATATATATATATATATATATATATATATATATATATCACTTAGTGGTAGCCGAAATTATTTCAACACATATTATTCAATCAGAAAAGACTGAAAGCAAAAGAAAACATAATGAACTCTAGTTCATTCCTCAAGCTTTATAATCCAATTCCAATTTCTTTCTTTTCTGTGTTAACTACACTACTTACTAATATTCAGTAGCTCATGTTGTTTTTGATTATTTTTGAACACTCAGCATACTATAACCTTTTGTTCTAACATGTAATTTAAATATTAATATGGAATGATAGTACTTACTCCATTTTATTAGTGTACTTCCATTCCCTTAAGGCTCTAGACAGCTCATTACTATTTAGTTTGTGTTCATTGGACACTTATTTATTTGTAATAATCTCTAAATGTAGTGTTCATTGTTGACATTTTTATTTGCTCCTGCCACTTTTAATTTTGAAATAGATAGGGGCTTTTAATTTGCCACATACTTTTGTAAATTATTTCTACACAGCCGCTGTAGTAAGCATTTTGTTTGCTACAATAGGCCAACGAGAATTTCGGACATTCACTTAGGTTGGTCTTACAACATCTTAGATGACTTTATGAGTTATTGGTTTATGAATCACTGAAGCTTGAAGATGTAGCAGTATTACAAAAGCTGACTAGGTAAATGTAGAATCATGGGTCAGTTTTGTTACAGAACAAGAAGCATATGCTACAGATACTTTACTGCTTAAGAAAGCTAGAATATTAGTAGAAAGAATTATTGTTCTCTTAAAGAACTCTTTCAGTATTTTTCTGTTGATCTTACCGGATAGTTCGATTTGGAAGATGATAACTTTTGGGGTATTCGAAATATTCCAATATTGGAAAGTACGTCTAACTGAATAGATTATCCTCTTAGTCCTACCTATTTATCAATATCATTGTGCACAACTCGTCTAATACTACGTACGTTTCTATCCATGAAAATGAATATAAATTCCATTTGAGTGCTAGGTCAGTCAGTAAAAGTATAAGATAAGGGGCCGAAATGGCGGAAAACACCGAATAAATAAATTGGCTTATAGGACGTCACAATATACCATTTCCTTATGTCGATGGATTTGAGTAAATATGGACCTGAATTCAAGCGAGGTCACTTGGTAATCAGAAGGTTAACAGAAATGGACCTTATACACGTCCTAAATAAATAGTATATTTGTAATATCACAATGAGTAGAAAAATTAGATTTTCTGACTTTTCGTGGCTTAGTGTAAGTCACTTCTTCAGAGAAATGTTTGCAGGGTTAGGAAACAAGTAAATAAAAATAAAAATATTAGAAATAACAGCACAAAAGTTTATCATAGTCAAATTCTTCTTCCATAGTATATGTGTTTAGTCACTTGTGAAGGTGTTCTACACATCTTATGATGATATCTCATAGAACAATAGAGATGGTGGAGGAGATTTGTAGCTCAGGTGGATGATTTTGGTGGAGTTTTGTTGAGTTTTGCACAAACTTCTATCTGAAGTTTGTGCTGATGATGTCGTTCAGAAGAACGATGAATGCTCCACGACCAAACCATCCAGCTCAGAGAACAAAACTCCACCAAGAACGATAGAGTTTTATAGACAAATAATTCAGAAAACCACTGAAATCTAGCTTGTGATCAACACGAATTTACTATTATTCATATCCATCTGAATATTATAAATTTTCTACTTATTTTTTAATTTGTTCCCAAGATTATTTTCAGATTCATTAGGATAATGTGTATCATTTTAATTAGATCGACTTGAAGTTACTTTGTTGTTGCAGTGGTTTAGATTTATATGTTTACTGGAATATACAATCTCGATAGATTCTATGACTGAAGCTTTTACTGGTGAATTCTATTAACTGATTTGTTTGTTGGAATAAACTAATTATATTCGTTTTTATACAAATTGTACAGCATATATCTCACTGACAAAATTTATTGTTTAGTAAAAATAAAGTAAATTATCAACTTAGTGACAATATATACCAATTATTCTACACAAAGAAGGACCGATAACCTTCAAAACTCACTAAAAATATATCACATCTTCAGATCATGAATTAAGATTAACTGGTCAACATTTTAAACTCCAAACAATTGTTAATAAGCTGTAACAAAAATCCAATAATCTTTAAATGGATTATCAGATATCAACTCAGTGGTAAATATCTTTTTTGATGTAAGACTGGAAGCTTCTACTGATGTTAGTTTATAACAAAAATGGTCCCTTCATCAAGTCTAACAAATATACACTAAAATATTCTGTTAAAATATATATTTAATAAAGAATAGTAGTAGCAGTGGTATGGTTTGATAGATGGATAATAAATAAGCTATGTAAACTAACCTTGCCATTGCATCATCTAATTCTTTAAATGTAGCAGTTACAGTTTGTAAAACATTGGCATCATTGTTATTGTTACTATTATTTGCTGAATTCTGTAGACAATTAACACCAGTAGTATTAGTAGTAATCGGAACTGATTGCTTACATGAATATAACTGTTTATCACTATTGGATTTCAATTCATTTCCCTGTAAATTTGTACAATAATCAGAATGAATATTTAATTTTGGTACTTTTAAATGGATGGATTGATTATTATTACCATTAGTGGTAGTATTGATTTTATTTTTATTGATAAGTTGGTCTAATAATTGACGAAGTTGATAAATTTCAGTTTCTTGTTTACTTAATCGATCAGCTGCTCGTAAAGCATCTTGACGTGATAACAATAACTCATAACGTAGGCGAGCTACTTCACTGAATAATTCTTTCGGTTGTTTATTAATATTATTATTCTTGTCGGCAGAAGTATCAGCGGCATTAGTAGTATTATTTGTATTATTAGCTAATGAATAATTAGAACTATCTTCTTCCATTTGAATCATATTATATGAAGTGGTATCTGATTGGCTAAGCAGTTCTTCTGTCGAGGTTGATGATAAAATATTTTTACTGTAAGCGTATGTATTGTTCTTTGAATAATTATTTGATAAATTACTTGGAAAATGATGATTACGATAATTATGTGGCAAGTTCGATTGAACAGTATTTGTTGATGTACCGAAAAAGAATTGATCGTTATCCACATCCCTATCAAATATATTTTCACGACTCTGCAAGTGAAAAAAAGACGAAGGTAAATAGTCAGGTAGGTTAGCTGATTATCATTGGGAACTTTGTTTTTCTCTTTAATTATTTATCGACAATACATTATCATGTTGTGCTCTTGAAATATAAACAAATAAAATGATATGTGTTTTACTGTTATACAAGATAGAATCAGTAATGACTGTACTGATAAAGACATAGAGTAGTATGAACTGTTGATTGATGGAACTGTATCAGTAGTATGTACTTTCAAGCGATAAAATTGATACTTCTGAGAATGCTTAAACCATTGTTATTATTCCTTATACACATTCATGATAAATACTGTACGTAAAAACCAAAGTTAAGTAAAACTGTTTACTTCACAGCTTCTAGCAAACATTGTTGGACGAATTAACAAATTAACCGCATCATTAATAAGATGTATGAAAGTAAGCAGTTAATGTAGGGTTCAAGTATATTTAAAAAAAAGTATTGAGCTCATTTGCATTGTTGTATTTTTATAGTGTTAATATAAACAACACACAATAAAACAAGTGAAATATAGAGCCATAAAAATGCTACACAAAGGATTCGAATACTCTCTAGACGTAATAACGAATTCCTACATATTTTTCAAACATTCTATGTATGATTTAAAATTATTTAACGATATTGTTCAATCTAATCCAATAATAAATAAAACAGCAATATAGAGAATTGAAATTCAAAATTGATTTACCAAATATCCATCACAATGAAATGAATCACAAAAGAAAGATATAATAAAGTTTACTTGGTTTAAAGATTATGTCTTTCAATGCAATAGATGTAATTATAACGATAGTAAAACTGGGTAATTATATTCTTTCAGAATTTATTGCGAAAATTTTCTACTTTATCGCAATCATCAGTTTTCTATCAATTAACGAACAAGCTGATTATATGTATTTCAGTTCATTCATTATATTTCAACAGTATATATGATTAAAAATATAGTTTTAGGCAGTGCTGATAGTCTAGGTAAAAATATCCTCTAAATGCAACTAGCCGTTTCCTAGAACATATTGGTTACTTTTGACTGTATTCAGTGGGTTCAAACAATGAAGCACGCGATAAACTGCTAGAAAACTTATTTTGTTTGGTTGAAATATATATTTCATTGGTCTTTATTTCTAACACTAAAATATTCAGACATATATTAGAAAATTGGAAAGGATTAGACAAGAAAAACATATTAAGTAGTAGAGTTAAAATACAAAGAACATACTACAATTTACTAGATTGATGAAATGTTGTTGAGAAAATACGGACAAATTAAGTTAAGACATTGTTATTCGTATGGTAGATTTTTATCAATTATTTTATTTTTGTGAAGGCGTCAATCAAATACAAAGTTCAATTCACGAGTCGATCTAAGCTTAAAAAACATTGGCAACTTCGAAGCACTGTATGGCCGTTCCATCCTAGTATGGGACTACTCGACAGTGAGCATCCACGATTCCGCACGCAGGACTCGGACACAGGACCTTCGGTCCCTTATATGGACGCACAACCCCTAGATCACTGAACCGGCACCCAACGGTATATATATATATATATATATATATATATATATATATATATATATATATATATATATATATATATATCAGAGTATGTATTTAAGTGACAGAGGCTTGTAACTCAGGTGAATACTTTTAAAGATGTTTTATTCTCTAAGCTAGGTTTAAGTGTCGAGCTTTCATCATTATTTTTGACAATATCTTTAGCGCTTGCTTCATTTAGAAGTGAAAATTTCAATTATTCCATAAGTGTTATGTCGATTTGTTCCGATGGCCTTCTCTGTGATTAGCTGTGTTTGTGCATTTTGTTGTCTTTGTGTTTTTCTGTATTTACTCTGATTATCGTTGTTGGTTAGTACTTGACCTTATGACTGACAATTTAAATAACATCTTTAAAAAGTATACCACCAATACTGTTGTTACTTCTACTACTCTCGGTTTTGACCCAGGAATCTTATCTAGTTGTACTGATGGGGTGTTGCAATTTGAACCTATGTACACACTTACCAGGTTCCACATTACGACTGACTAGCTGAATAAATTCATGAAGCAAGGTACAAGTTTCCACACTTCATATTATGTCATACTTTACGCAAAATTCATTAATATTAACTAAATGCTAAATGAGATAAACATTGAGCTAGATTCTGCATAGTGCAATAAATGAATATTGAATAATTTAACTGCATGGAGACCTAATCATATTTATAAAAGTAACAAATATTTGCTTTATATATGAAAATATATAACATACGTTATTATTTGATCGAAATTGTCTTTGAACTTTAGATATTTTTGTTGAATCACTAGATGAACACATAATACTTGGTTTAGTTAATATCACATTTGCTGTTGTAACTTGTTTTGGAAATAATCTTGGTGAAATACTATTAATATTATTATTATTATTATTGTGCAGAGAATTTGTACTTGAATTATTTTCAGTTTCATTTGTTGGAACAATTTCAGAGGATGTCAGTCTATTATTTGTTAATGACATAGATTTGTATGAATTTGATTTTATGATTGATTGATCCGTAACATTCAGTAGATTCATTTTATCTGACTGACATTTAGTGACGTCCAATGTATCACTTTGTAGTGTCTAAAAAATTGATTTAATCAAAAACAAAATTTAGAGTCATCATAAAAGTGAAAATATTTTTTTTAATGGTAGCAATAATATTGGATAATGTTTACATTCAGTTTTTTTATTTTCAAAAGTACTAGATTCATCTAATCGCTAAGCTATAAATATGCTAGTCTTTTAATCAAATAATTATAGAGGAAATCAAGATGTGTAAGTGCCTTACATAACGGTTAGTTGATTGTAGTACAATTAAACATTAAATAGGAAGACCTAGTAAGAATATTTACATCAGATCAAATTGTCACAATTGACCCATTTATTACAACTAAAGAAGATGATAAGTAAATATGACAAAATGAAAACAACAATAATAATATTAGTAGTAGTGATCTAAGGAAAGAATATTCGGTTCGAAAAAAAAACATGTAAAACTGTGAAAGAGAATTTCAGACTTCATCACACTTATGTTTTATATTATTTTAAATTACCTTAAAGGACTTATAAGTAATCGCTTGTTTTTGGGGTTGACATTATTCATTTCGTAAAAATGTTGATTATAAATTTTGATTTTTATTATTAATATCAAAACGTTTGGTTAGTCATCGAAAAAGTGACAAAGTTAACTGATTTTTTTTGTCATTAAAGAGAGCAGGCAAAATACCTGGGAAGTAAAATTTTTAGAAAAAACGATACGTTAGATATTCATTGAAAATCGAACATAATTATCCTGAATGTTTGAACATAACCAAATAGTTTTCTTGTTACCTTAGTCTAATAAATTGACCTTGTATCTGTTCTGGTACAACACTCAGTGAAAATAGACATCAAGACTTTTATTGATTCGTCAGTATATGATTTTGTGGAGATCACTGAATGTTGTTGATATCACAGAAAGACCTAAGGTAGACAAACGAACGGTAACCATAAAGCATTCGATAGCTGTTCTGTCCTAATATTAGGTCCCTCGGAAATATGCATCGATGATCTTACTGGTGATCGGTCTTATACTGTGTATCTTGTGAACGCTCAATCTTCACATGATTGTATACATATTCAACTGTTCTGTTAGCACAAATAAGCTTAAATGAAAATAATCCAAGGTCTTTCATAATGATGCAAATGTATTCAAAGTGAATAATCAAATAATCAATTACTCAGAAATTTTCTGGGAATACACAGGTTCTCGTAAGTTACTTACAACATGTAAATTTTGAGAATTAAAAGATACATTGTGGATTAAAAAATATTAACATAAATGAATTTTATTGGAATTAGTTACACATCAAAAAATCATGGCAAAGATGTGAATACATATGAGACAAAATAAAAATATACTTAATAACGCTGTTAAAAACGTAATTGATTATACATAAGTGGTTATGCAATTAGCAAATGCTTTTATTCATTTACGATCCAATTTGTAATTTTGATTATAAAATATTACTACCCGAAAACAGCTGACAAAAATCTAACAGAATAAAGTGAATTTACATTTTGTTTTCAAATATTTGTCATATGATGTGATGTTATTTTTATTCCTTCAATTTTAACTTAATATTAGGACGAGACGACCGTCCAGTGCTTCCAGGTTTTCTATGGTGGTCTAGCATCAATTGGCTGATGAATTCAACTATCAAATTACATGTTGATTGAGATCATGAACCGATTGATGTTAGATCACCGTTAGAGTCTTAGTGAGAAGCCGTAACCAGTGGATCTAATCCGTGTCAGGTAGAGATAGGTATCTATCCCAGTACAATGGAAGATGGTTGCACAATTTCATGGGTTGATTGATGTTAGACATTAACACAATTGGATACCGGCTCAGTGGTCCAGTAGGCTAAGCGTTCGTGCGCGAGATTGAAGGCCATGGGTTCGAATCCCGCGGGTGGAACCGTAGATGAGCACTGCCGAGGAGTCTCACAACAGGACGAAACGGCCGTCCAGTGCTTCTAGGTTTTCAACGGTGGTCTAACATCAATCGGCTCATGGTTTCAATCAAAAGCTTAATAATCTCCCCAACCCCTACACTGATTGTTAAATTACTATAATATCCCAAAAAACCCTCCTCTGATTTTAATTTATCTGTTTGAACATTAAATCTCAAACAAAATTTTTAATTGATATCTCCATTTTATCTCAATGTCACTTGTTGCACCAATGTGAATTATAATAGTTCCAACTAATGCATACAGTTGCTAGGTCCAGTTTTATTTGAATATATATATATAAATAATCAACTAACGGATTGATATAGGAATTTGATAAAGTGATGCAACGATTTGATCATCCTTTCTGTTTAATCTTATTTATACTACTATTAAGTAAAACTTCCTCAGGACTGGCTAAATTGGTATAAATGTAAACATTTTTGAAAGACCTTTGCATTTTCATGAAGGCTGCCATTATTATTATTACATCATTTCAAACTATTTTTTATATCCCATGGCAAGTTGACTTTTGTATTTTTACCAAATTTCACAATCTTTTATTTTAAGGATTATGAATTAATGATAGACTTGAAACTATTACCATTTTAAATAGGTTATTTGAGGTCAATGGATTGACGTAGTGTTGATGTTGTGAAAAACACAAAAAAAAACATTGAAAATAAAATAGTATAATCAGACCAATATAATTAGGAATAATTAAAATGCCTTTTGAAAATTAATGTATTTGAAACCAAGAAATATAGTAAAATAGAAAGATATTCTCCTAGAGGTACACTTTTATCGAGATCTGCCAGCCGATTTTTTTATTAATCAATAAACAATTTGACATTTCAAAATGGGGATTTGTGGAGATTGAAGTAATTCTAATAGTCGAATTCATGAGTCTATCTAAGCTAGATAACCATTGAAAACCTGGAAGCACTATATGACTACCTCGTCGTAGTATGGGTTTCCTCAGCAGTGTGCATCCATAATCTCACACCAAAGGACTCGAACCCAAGACCTTCGGTCTCGAGCATGAACGCTTAATCTCTAGACCACTGAGCCTAAATCGAACCGTGTTAATGTCTAACTTTATTCCGTCCATGATCTTGCGCAACTTCTCATCCATTGTCTGAGGTATACAGCTGTCTCACACTCTACACGGATTGGACTGCACCGGTCACGGCTTCACAGTAGAACCAATTTAATCTGTAAGATAACATATCGACTAAAAAATGTTGACTCGCAAATCAGTCACTAAAAAGTAAAATATTGACTAATTTTCGGTTTTGTAAGTTACTCATCTTTATTATGGCTGTGCTATATTGTGTATATTTAGAATAAAATGAAAATTCATTAACTTCGAAAATGGCTGATTATTTGAAATTGTTAACCGTGCTTTTGATAGAAAGTCCACTGTCATGTAGAATTAGACGTACTGATATCAAATAGTGAAGTGAATGAATATAATATCTCTCCAACATATATTACCATATGTTATGAACATCATAAACTGACATCAATCATCTGGAAATCTTTTTCGTTTAAATATCATTTGTATTACATAGTAAGCCATAGGATTACTAATTGGTTCTGAATGGCTAATTTATAAACATACATATGTAAATAAACCGGAAGTTATCGGCTCAGTGATCTTAAGGTTGATGGTTCGTAAGCGAGACATAAACGTTTTGTGTTCGATACATGGTAAGGTCGTGGCTGCACACTGTAGAGAATTCACTAACTTGGACGAAAGAGCTGTTCACAATTTAATGGTTTACGATGGTTATCTGAATAAGATTAGTCAGTGATTTAAACAATAAAAATCACAACCAACCATAACACCTTATTACGATCTACAGTTCTGGGAAATCAGAGAAACATATTAACAGCTTTGAGTGCTTCTCATCAATGGTTCCCCATCATAGTTGTCATAATCAACTAATACATATGCCACTTCACATCAAACATCACAAACGAAATTCCGAAAAGAAAACGCCGATTGGTAATAATTATCATCACAATATTTCCTTAATCAATCTGACATTTCTGAGAAAGATAACCACTACTATAACCAATACTGCTGTTTTGAAATACCATACAATTTTCAATCGAACTATATAACATGAAAAGGTTACGAAAATCAATAATCCATCTGACTAAACGAAAAATATTTTCTTAGTATGAAAAAAAGGTAACAAAATTAAATGTTACAATGTAGACAGAAAATAAATTAATGAAGTTAACTAGTATCCAGTAAGGATTAAATGATTATAAAAGTGAGATAGAATAATATAACCTTAATATCGGTACTGCTAACAATCAATAGAAATAAACATGAATTGCTAGAAAGTTGACTATTCAATATGTCATATAACATTTTATGTAATTCTAGAAATACTGAAACAAGGAACACTATTAAAATGTCCAAACTCAGAAAAAAGAATCTTATAAACGATTACCGACTGATAAATCTTCACTTATAAATTTAAACATTGAAATGAATTAAACACATATACAAATTTTATCATTTGTCCTCTAAGTCAATGGAGTTTAACGAGACTATACAAATTATACTATTCATAACAAGAATATACATATTTATACATAACTCAAATGAAACCGACCAACAATTAAGTATGGTAGTACTTGAGCTATCATACTTATTGCAGCTAGAAATAAATAGTATTGGTAATTTTATAACTTGTGATCTTGTACCCTATTAATATATAATGTAGTGATACTGCCAATTCGAGAACAGTGATTTATCGACCGGACCAATAACGCATAAACCTGTATGAACAGTAAAGAGTCTTTATCGGTCCTTCTTCCTGCCTACCCCTGCCTGCTAATTGCGGAACACTAATCTCAGCCTGTGAGATATGAATCATGTATTTCAAACATACTGAGCTTACATACAAACCAAACAGACCACATCGTACCATAAAATAGAAAATAACACTTTTACAAGATCTAGCCAAAAGTGGTTGTGAATGTGGGAGACTGAAATTAATAGACTGGGCAGAACTCAAGAACGGTAAATCGTATAATAATAGTTTATAGGTAAAAATAAAGCTTATAATAAGAAGAACATGAATATGCATAGTTTAGCTACTTAATAATTATACAATATCAGAATAGGTTTTGTGGAGATTTTTAGAAATTTCACTGGTTGACTGGTTAACTGATAGGTCCTGGGTTCGAATCTCGCGGTGGGGCGGGATCGTGGATGAGCACTGCTGGGGAGTCCCATACTAGTACTAAACGGCCGTCCAGTGCTTCCAGGTTTTCCATAGTGGTCTAGCTTCAATTGACTCATGATTTCAACCAGTGAAATTATACAATAAAAATATATGTATCGTATTGGTCCATAAATAGTTCTCAAGAGTTATCATTCATAATTCTCGTCGGGATATAACAGGTAATCATCATAAAACTATCATCATTCAGATATTTAAACTACTTGAATTTAATTGTGTAATAATAGAAATAAATTTTAATTATTAAACCGAAATTTGAAGTGTACATTCATGCACCAAGTTTTATTTTGTTAGTTATCGTTAGAAAATGATACAGGAATGTAATAACTTAAGGGGTGATGCATTTCGAAATTAATTTTAATGGAACATTTTAACATATTAATAATGTATATTTACATATTTATCATACATCATTTATGTATAGAATTAATCACATATAATTTCAGATTATAGAATTATAACCAAACATAATCTTAACATTAGTTACTATTTAAATTTGGTGAAACGTTTTTTTCCAAAATAATGATCATAGCTATTCTTAGCTACATGTCAGTTATATTATCAAATGTTCAAAATATCCAAAACCTATTAATGGTCAGATTAATAGTAATAAAATTTTATTATAACATTTATTAGGTGTCATTAAACCATTACGACAACCAGTGTAGCAGCAGCCTCAGCAGCAGTAGGTCTCAATATACACAAAGAGGAAAGCAAGATTCTCCGATAGGACACAGCATGCACCAATCCAATCACAATTGAAGGAGAAGATTTGGATGATGTAAAAACCTTTACATATTTGGGCAGCATCATTGATGAACAAGGTGGATCTGATGCAGATACGAAAGAGCGGATCGGTAAAGCGAGAGCAGTATATTTACAACTAAAGGACATCTGGAACTCAAAACAACTGTCAACTAACACCAAAGTCAGGATTTTGATTACAAATGTCAAGACAGTTCTACTGTATGGGGTGGAAACCTGGAGAACTACGAAAGCCATCATCCAGAAGATACATGTGTTTATTAACAGTTGTCTACGCAAAATACTTCGGATCCGTTGGCCGGACACTATCAGAAACAACGTACTGTGGGAGAGAACAAACCAGATCCCAGTGGAGGAATAAATCAGGAAGAAGCGCTGGAAGTGGATAGGACACACATTGAGGAAAGCACCGAACTGCGTCACTAGACAAGCCCTCACACGGAATCTTCAAGGCCAAGGAAAAAGCGGAAGACCAAAGAACACATTACGCCGAAAAATGGAGAGTGAAATGAGAAAAATGAACAAAAGTTAAATAGAACTTGGAAGGAAGGTCCAGAACAGAGTGAGTTGGAGAATGCTGGTCGATGGCCTATGCTCCATTAAGAGTAACAGGCGTAAGGAAGTAAATAAGTATTAAACCATTACACTTTTGCATGGAACAGTAACACGACAATATCATAAGCTTCATTGAAATCATGAAACGTAGTCAGCCTTAGATGCTCAATCAGAATTATAAACTGTAGTTCAGTTTAAGACTAATGAAAGTTTGTTATATGTTTTCTTCAATAGAGTTGATTCATTTGATGAAGAATTAAACTTACGTGATCATAATTCTTAAATGTTGACTGATTAAAATTACTTAACTGACTCTTAAATGATATTTTTGTCAATGATGATGATGACGATCGAGAAGATGAGGATGAAAATGGTACAGTATCATAGATATGTTCATTATTTAAATCATTTAATTTGTCTAAACTGATTGATTTCTGTTCATATTTCTTCTGATTCTCTGAATAGTTACACTTTTCCAATTCCATAATTTTAGTAACTGATAATGACGATTGATGTTGAAAAGACTGAAACAAATGTAAAGAAAAAATGGTAGATTCATCAGTTAAACAGTTTGATATAATTGGTAAAAATTTACATCACACACTGAGTTTTCACTTGAGAATAATTCAAAATTATGTATTACTCGTCCGACAGATATTTATTTCTACTGTGGGATCCATCAGCAGTATGCAAACACGACTTACATATTAAATTGAGAGACACCTATCCGACAATGAAATTTAAATTTACATTATCATAAAGTAAGTATCAAGGAATAGATTAAATGAAAACATAAATTCTCGGTTTCAGACATATTCAACACCGGAATAGATATTTCAGTAAACTGTGTTTGGTCATTTTACTCCACATTAAGAAGAGTTTATATATATAACAATTAAACAGCCTGAATATTCAAGTGTCAATTGTACAGTTTCAATGTTCGATTACAGGGTAGCTTTTCATGATGATGATGACTAAGTTGTTAAATATTACTAAACAAATACATGCAGGCAAACTATAAGATATCAGCTTTCAGTCACGCGTTTGAAATTTCATGCAAAAATCCAATTGCATCTATTTTTAATATGATTGTTTTGTCGTTATGGAATCATTTCATTTAAATATTGATTTTTTTTATTTTCAGAATGGTATTCAAGTATTCCTATTCGAATTACTCTATTTAGTTACTAGGTTAGTGAACGTAAAAAGCTACTAGAAAATTATTAGTTAAACCTCTAAATTACTCGAAACAACTTTTGATTTGATAAAAAAATTGTTTACTCCCGTTGAAAAAAAAAAAAGAATTTAAAAATCAGTTATCTGAAAAGACAAGTGTATGTTCATTTAAATATTACAAAACATTTTATGGTTGCATAACTAATTTAGAAATAATTCCATATGTGACAGTTAATATTCCGCGAGGAATGATTTTATCCATAGTTAGTTAAGGTGATCCGTATGGTCTTAGAAATTAGACAAGGTGATATGTTTTGCCTGAATAAAGAAAATTGGGTTACGACGTTTCTATCAATTTGTTCTGCCTAGTTAACTGAATGATTGTCGAATAACCGAAATCATCGAATACAGTATATGTTGTTTGCAATGGTGAATTGAACACTGGAGTGTTGGTTAGCATGTTAGGCCCATATACCTTATTCTAGCTTTCCGACAGGCCAATCTACTCATTCTACTTGAGTCACATTTTGACCTTGTTAATTATTCGCTTATCAATACTGACTGTTTTTATATGAACGTATTATATGTGTGCTCTTCTTATCCTATTCATCACATGTCTGTAGCCTATCTTTGTGTAACTATAAATATTAATTAATGCTTAACTAAATGGAATTGGCTCATATGCCTTCTCGACCTTGCGTCGTTTCTCTTCGTTCTATCCCATTCACGTCATATACAAAAAATATGTATTCAGAAGTCCATTCTCGTTATTTGACTTATTTAATTTTGTTACTGACTAACACGATTTAAGTCGATGATTATATACGAGGATAGGCGACATATACATTACGGCAGCAATCATTCAGTAACAATCATTCATACAATCAAATGGGAGTCAAATCCCAGGCCACTAAAACTTGGCAATTTTCCATTTCCCAAATACAAGTAACAAGAAACTATTTTCAACTACTTTGATTGTACAGTGGGTTATTTCACTAACTTATTTGACTCATTCGACATTTAATTTTGTCACGTTCAAGTGATAGCTGAAATTGTAGCAGTTGAATTCACGAGTCAATCTATGCTAGACCAACAGTGTTTCCAGGTTTTTAATGGTGATCTAGCTTAGATTGTCCAGGGAATTCAACTGTTACAATACTGGTAATAATTGGAATTTACAAATTCGCATTATCAACAGCACTATTTATCTTAAGTTGTTTCTTATAGGAGAAAAAACATTACTGTTTTTTTCTAATAAACAGGCTTATTATTATCGATTAAATCTGGGTTACTATGACCACCATAGATCAACCTCAATAAAAAAGCATCTTATCATAGATTATGATTATACCATAAAACCTATGTTAATGGTAAACATTCAGTCCAATTAAAGTGCTTAAGCTGTCTCAAGTACGTTATATGATAGATATTTAGTATCATCCATGATGAAACTCATATAAAGACTCATTCATTCCACCTATATGATGTTCATGTATGCATTATCTATTTCTACTATGGCGTATTTACAATCGCCATCGATGTCTTGTAAAATCATTCGACTTAAACTTATGCCTACCTATTCATTTTAACTGTAACAGACATGGAAATTTGAGAGACACAATTCAAAAAGAAAGGAAACGGAACTGAAGAAAGGAGATTTAAAAATGATAATTAATTCATGAACTACAGGACGAAATAGAACCAATGTGACTGTGTCACCAAAACCGACGTTTAGGAATGTCACTTAAAGTCTCTAACCAATGGTGACAATCATCATTTAGACTCCAACATGGCCCTAACCATTAATCGATGACTTCAGAAACTAATGTCGTTTCTTGATTTAACCACTTTTAACTTTCCCCCAACCTATTAAAGTAACGGTGAATTTAAACAGATAAATCTAAGCATAACGTAGAATTGATCAATGAAGATAAACTTTAAAAATATGGTTTAATTTTGTCGACAATATAACACTTACATAGTCATTATTTTTATCTTTCATTTTATTCTTGTTTATTATTTCATCATCTAAACGATTAATGTTAACAGTATCATTTATTCCATGATCACTTTCATCATTACTTATATATGGTTCATCATAATCATTTGGATTTGGTCTCGATATATCCGATGGTAGACCAGTTAATGATGTTGACTGTTTCAATTGTGGTATTAATAATCCATTTGAATTTTTATGATTATCCATTAATAATGGATTATGAAAACCTGGATTATAATGTAATGTATAATATGGTGTAGTCATTTGTGAATTTGTATGATGAGCATAAATTGAATTGATTGATTGTTCACTGTTATGAACATCAGTAATGTCAATATTATCTTTAATATTATTTGATGAAGAGATTAAAAAGTTGGACTGTTGACATCGATTAGTAGAAGTGGAATTTAAAAGATTATTTATATTATTACTATGATAATGGTTACTGTTATGATTAGTATCATTATTATTTACAGAATATACACTTTTATCATAATTTAAACACCTTGTTAATGAACTACATTGTAATGCACGTGAAATATCGTCTAGTATTTTTGGAAGTGTGCATAATTCATTTGGTAAACTGGCCATAACAGTAGAATTGAGAGTTTTCTATAAAAAAAAAAGACAAAACGGAGAAAGAAAGTTGAAAAGTAAATATTAATTTATAAAATGCTCTAATAAGAAGAATATTCCATTCAACAATCAAGGAATTAAAAATGGTTCAAATATGAAACCGACCTAACTGAACATTTGTGCCACTTATTTTCACACAATGCAACTAGTGTTACGAATAATTTCATTCATAACGAATCAATAATGTATGTAAATCAAAAACTGTACTTGTTCACTTCTGTTGAAAGAAAAACAACAATTTATCACGATGATAAAAGCAGAATCATCATTGCGGTTAACATATCTTCTTTGAAAAGAGTAAAGGAGAATGTATTACCATTCATCCAGTGTGGAAGTGGTCAAAAGTGTTGAAGGTGATTAACAATTAAATACTACTGAAATAGATTTTACAAATAACTACAAACAATACAAATATTATAGTGAATTATTGTAAGAATATTGCTCATCTTGTAGGGAACACGAACGCCAATGGGGACAATCAAATGTAGTTGATACAAAATTGCAGGACTTGTTAATAAAATCTAACAATCATATAGTAAATGCTTAATTTGCAAAATGTCCATCAATTGTCTCAAAATGACTCAGACTTCATTGTTCTTGCATTTTCATACAAATTGCATTCTGCTTTCATTTTTTACTGTTCGATCCCCTTGTTTCCCTGCTGCCAGACATTTTGTTCATGACAAACGTCATATACTACTTATGTCGATATAAGTAGTACACACCATAATCTCAAGTAGATAATTATTTACTATAACCAGATATACAGTACTAATTGAAGCAAATGACCATTATCTTATGATATAATTATCTAAATGAATCACTTTTCATTGGGAGGAAAGAGGCTGATACATAATAGTCTTAAGAACTATTCTATAAACATAATAACATGAAGTATTTTTAAACATTGTGAACATTTTCATTATGTAGGAAGTAGTAAGATCGAATCCAGTAACTATCCAAACACATGCTTAATTTATAAATCTCCCTCTTTACACAGCATCCGTGATTGTCACCTAAAGAGTAAAATATGCCTTAAGCAGTAGCATTTGGAATAAACCAAGTATATTATACACTAATTACAATGAATTACTTGCAATTATCTAAAATTCGCATTAAATTTTTAGTTATATTTAGATATGATACATTCTGATCACTAAAATTTGTCATTTATGCAACGACCAGCATCAACAATGACAGAATGATTAAAACAATTGTGCATTGTAATAACAGTGCATTATTTAAATAAACGACAAACGAGACGACTCCATATGTTAATTAAAAATGAATTTCCATTCAATCAATAAATACTTCTTCTACATGATGCAAAATAACTTAGGACTCTTGAAACAATGCGGACAATGATGTTTGGGCCATTTAACTAGATATTTTCACAGTCTTATATAGAATAGAACTATATTCAATAAAATCAAGTCATCGTTGAGTGAAAGTAATTTAACTTACAAGAAAATTAGTAGCACTCTTTCCAAGCATTGTTGTAGAATTTGATAAAAAATTTGTATCACAAGTAGGATTGACTGTTATCAGATTATTGTTATTACCAAACAGTACAGTATTTGTAATAGCATTAGTAGTACTAGTAGTAGTGGTATTAACAGTCCCCGTTAGTAAAGTGTCATCATTACTTGTAGCAGATATTGTTGAATCAGAAAACATCACATCTGATAATATAAGATGAAGATTAGCCAATTCACAATTCTCATCAATTGTATCTTTGACATTATTTTGTGTTTTTACTAAGGTTGATCTTTTTGTCTGATGTGAATTGTTTGTTGGCGATGATAATAACATTTCATTGTCAACTGTTACAGAACCAGTAACAACATTATGAATCATGTCATTGTTATGTGAGTTCAGTGAAGATGGTGATATCGATCGAATAAACATTCGCATCAATGACAACTGATAAGAAACATAACCATTTAAAAATCTCATATAAGGTTCCTATTAAAATGAATTTAAAAAATATGTAAAGAAAAATTAATTAGTAAACAATAAAGATAACAGAATGCAGGTACATCCGGCTGATGCGTCTCAAGTAGGACGAAACGCATCTCCTGGATTCCACTGCTAGCCACCATCTATCATTGCTTATGATAGAAAAAAAAACATATTCAACTTCAAGACACTTGAAACAACTCCTTCTTTTCTAAGTTCAACGCATTTTCAATGTATAAGTAACGTGTTTCATACAACAGCCTCGATCATTTTTTTCACTGAATAAGTGCGTGAATTTTCTATAATAGAGCATACTCTTTTTTTTTAGATTTCATTTTTTGTGATACCTTTCAACGTACTTGTGTTTATCACACTACAGGCTTTAGTCAGCTACACTGACATGTCCATAGCAAAAAACAGTTGTAAGTAACTTCATACTCTTTTGCCCAATACTAAAATAAAACAACTGTTCTGATCTTCAATTATTGTAAAGATGAATTCGGTAGTTCATATGAATTATTCTATCTGTTTATTTCATTCTATAACGTTTATTATTTATATAACGCAACAGTTAACAATTAATTAGTTCATGAAATGTAGATGAAGTTCTCAAAATAAATATTGGCTTGAAGTTACTAAATTATTAATCAGAAATTCAAATACTTCAGGGAAAAACAACAATAAATTTGTCGATAAAATATTGGAATTACCCAAAACGATAAGATTATCAAAGTAGATTTTATTATTCATTCCTTATTTTTAATGTTATTATTATTGCGTCATACCATTTCCTTTAACTGAAATCTTAGTATTGTATTTGTTTTGACATGAATAAATACCTTTCTAATGTTAACTAAGTAATTATTTTTTCAGTAAAACTTATATATCAAGAAAAATCTCAGTTATGAATACATTATTTCAATAATTTTTGTTTGTAACTTATTTAACAGGATACATGTTCGCACCATAAATAGTGTCTGAGGACCACTGATACTGTGGTATGTGCTTCTGATGTTGATAAATATAAATAGTATGCATCATCAACTGAACATGTAATATCTTGAGGCAGAAAGTTATTGAGATCGAAGAAAAGAGAAAAAGAACAGAGAATAATCACTGTAGAAACGAAAAAAACAATGAAGTCTTAGATGATTGATTGACATTTGCAAATGAAGTATCTACTGTATGGTTCTCAGATTTCACTAAGATGTTCTGTAATTTTGTATTCAAATACATTCTCGTTTACTACAATAGTACTCGAATGTCTAAAGAGAAATAGAATGTGAGAGACTAGACATTATAATCTAGTTATTGAAAGTCGATCGACTTAGCCACTAAGTCACCGTTTCACGTGACAGAAAGTAATATCTGAGTATGACAGTAGTATGATTTAGATAAATATTGGCTTAATATGGATTGTAAGGAATAAAATCTAAATATACAGCATGCTTGTATGATTCCATTGAAGTTTCTATGTATTGGGGAATAAGTATGTATGATTAAAATCTTGTATGCAGATTTTCAAACGATATCACAAAATAACATCAGTTGAAGGTCATTTCAAAACTAAATAAACATAAAAATATACTTTATACGAATATTCGTCAAGAGTAAAACTAATATTTTGACAGAAATTGGGCGCCGAGTATAGAAAAGTCATTATATGTGAAAATTATCAATGATTATTTTAATTTTGATTATTACCCTGAAGAAGTCCAGTCAAATTATCTGGACGAAACGTTGGAATTATTTAATTTTCACTCACTCAGATTATCTTAAATATAAATTTCACATATAACAAAAATATACTGTTTTCTTTCTCCATAAGTTTGGGACCTCTTTAGTAGACTTCAACCATTATATTCTGTAATGTTATGCGTGTACGCTATACTAGGGAGTTTTAAATCAGCACGAAATTGTCGTTTAATATGTGATAATAACTTCTTTCTAAATAATTTTTCACTTTATTATATTATTTATTTAAATCCAAAGTATGAAAATCATTTATTTTGGTATGACAATGCTTTAAAAGAAAAAAAATTGAAGACTATACCAAGAGATATTTCTCCTAGTTGTAAAAGAATCAAGATCAAGATTTATACTATAGACACGTTAAGTATTCATATTATATACCAAATGTTCTGTCAAATAAGTAATTAACGAATAAAGATGAATCACTGATGTTATACACGTACATATATATATATATATATATATATATATATATATATATATATATATATATAAGCATAAATAAGCTTTCAGTTATTGGTATACACACATCTACATTATTGGAAATATATAACACTCAGAATAGAATATATATATATAATCAAATGATAAATATTCTTTAGTACAATCACAGCAGGTAAATTGACTGTATAGTGTAACGATTCATAACGAAATGTGGGAAACCATTTACACTTATCAGTAACAAATTTGATGTACTAGTTAGGAAAATTTACCATAATTTTTCAAGGAAAGTATCTATTTTGATTAAACAAAATGGGGTGGAACGTCTTTACAAAATGAGTGCTCACTATCAATAGTAGATGGATACGTCTTTGATTAGTAGTTAGGGTAAATGCTTGTAAAAGAAAATAATGTAGAATATGCTTTTATTATTTAACTGAAAATCATCGATATCTAATTTGAATTATTCAAAAGAAACTGTCGTTGAGATTACTGAATTACATTGAAATCATGAACCACTTTTGGACCACCATTGAAAACCTGGAAACACTGGATGTTCATTCCGTCTCAGTATGGAAATTCTCAACATTGTGCATTTACAACTCCGCAAGAAAGGATCAAATCAAGGACTCGCACAAGAACGCTTGACATCTAGACCAATGAGTCGGCATCCAACGTTGTTAATCCACGACGTTGCACAACCATCTCCAATATCAATAAATAAATTAATAATGTCGAAAAATGTTTTCTCAGTATAAAACGTATTCAAACAAGACATTTCATTAAATAAAATAATAATAATAACAAAAACAACTTACTTTATCATCGAATGTACTAAAATTAGCTAATGATTGCAATGATTTAGCCAGCAGTGTGAGGTTACGTTGACATGCTGGTTCACTAGGAAATGCACTGATTAAACCAAACAAGGAAGGTGAAAGTAAAGCTGGACAGATCAGTCGTAAAAATATACAACCAGATATTAAATTATCACAAAATTCTGATCCACGAATTGTTTCTAATGCTTCACGAAATGAACTGAATAAGCGAATGAGTACACTGTAAAAATAGTCAAACAGTGATTTAGAATAAGATTATGCAATCAAAACAAACAAGCAAAAGATTCGAAAGTATATAACTGCCTAATACGTTAAATAAAGCTTCTAATCAAACACACATCATACATCGTTATTCAATGAAATAGTCATTCACACTTTAATGTTATCCAATTGTTTGTTATCAAATTGAAGCTTTACACAATCTACTTTATCCCCATAGAGATATTTGTGGAGGCCATAGAATTTGCATAGTTTAAAACACGAACTGATATTAGCTACTACACCATTGAAATCCCTATACCAGATCGAGATTTCTGGGTCTGATTGGCGTATGAAGTATCGTATATACTTACTGCTTAAGAGTCTCATACTAAGACGACACGGCCATCCAGTGCTTCCAAGTTTTCAATGACGGTCTAGCTAAGACCAATCAGTGATTTAATTCACTTAAGTTTGAATAATTAGTTAAGTATCTCTATAATTTTAACCGTTAAAAATGCATATATACATAAAGTGGTTGTAGTATGTGAGCATGTAAATAGCTATCAATTTATGTTAAATATTAAATTTGTCATAAATAATGTGTCAGCTATTCACTATTTATGTACAAAACGTTTTTGGGAGACAAGAGAATACATAAAATAAATGAATACCTTCATCAAGGTATGTTGATGTTTTAAATACTTAAGTGAAGTCTACTTTATTTTCTAACTAATTACATGTTCTATGTACAAGAATAACTTTATTGGAAAGACATGAAGTCGATGGATAAAATAAAACTATTAATCACAATTTCTTATAATGTCATAACACTAGAGATTTCAATAAATTGTTAACATAAATACTCTTCTTTACACATCCAAGTGAAAAATGACTAAGTCACAAAATGAACACAAATATACCTTATTAATTATTTTATTGTTCTGTTTGTAATATAAAAATGATTACGTTTGATAGAGCAATCGTCAAGGTATACTTAACGCTAAACAAGATAATAGCTTAGTTTGTGTAACTTGAGTGAAGAGATCATACAATAATAATCGTTTTTAAGAATATGAATTGATATAATTAATTTAAATATCTTCCTTGCCCCAGTATGCTATCTGTGCAACTGAGTCCCGCAGCTAGCTAAACAAATTGTCGAGTATCGTTGATTAAAGCACTTCATTTGAAGACAGAGTTCACCTTCGATTGTTTCTTGACCGTGATTCGTCGAAGTACAGACAAAGAAGGTAATACAACTTTGACTAAACTTTGTGAGCTAATAACAAATAAATACCTATTCATGAAAATCGATCTGAAGCTTAATAAAACAACATTTTCAACGAAACTGGACAACAATCAACTCAATTTTGGAGCCGCGCTAAAATTTATTTCTTACCTTCTAAATCACAAACCTCCTAATATTGTATTACCGTCTTCATACATCTGCTGATTTCATTCTCCCTTTTCACCTTTATACATTTCCTTCGTTTTGTATGATTTCCTATCTGTATCTGTTATATACTATACTAAACTGTATCGGTTATGTACTGCCTAAAGTTCCATACTCATTTGTATATCTATCTATGTTACACTTGATCTGTAAATGTTCGTTTCAATCGATTTCATGCGTATATTATATCTGTTCTACTAATCAAAACGTCCAGTCATTAATGTATTGGCAGTTATCTGATGAATGCATCACTGTGATGTGTTACCATTTGAAATATTGATTTAACATATATAAAGTTATCCTAAATCAGCATCCTCTTATTTACTCTAAAAATTTGATTGAAATTCTAATTGCATGGCGACTTTTTCTAGTCGCTTCTATTTCAAAGTTTATTACTATCGTTATGGTAACAAGTCAGTCAAGGTATAGAGAAAGATGGAGTGTAGAAAAATGAGAGAGAACAATGTACAACATAACTGATAGACAAAGGAATATATAAATCAAAGCTAGAAAGTGTATACAGCCGATAATCAGATTATACACAAGAAGTTTTAATCAATAACATTCAGGTGATACACATACACACGCAAACATAGGATTCCACAACACATATAACAATGTAAAACAGTTAGATACACAAATAAACATCAGTGATTGTGTTTGTTCATTTACTGTTACAATAAACATTTTAAACAACCCAATGACTTATTATTGTTTTGTCTTCTCTTTAAATAATATTAATAATTAACACTTAACAGAATGATTTGGATAAAAAAGAAAATATATCTAGAATATAACAGTATATATTTATTAGTTCAAAAATTCTGTTAGCCAATTAAGATGACAATAAAAATCCAGCAACTCTATTACATACATTCTTTATACTGTATTTAGCGAAGTGGTGCTAGTAATTTTAACCAATCACTTTGCTATTGAATAGTAAGGTGAGTTTAATATACTGAGAATAAGTCGTCATGGTATCCCTGGTTTGTGAATCTTCGGTAAGTCATACAATCAAGCAATATAGGTTTCGGGTGGCTTGAGTAAGCCATATGCAGTCAGTAAGATATATTGTCGTTGCTTTAATGATCTAAAGGTTACAGTTAACCCTCTAGTTGTTAAGCATTTAGATGCATCTAATATTGGGAATGTTTCGGTCATTCAGTAGAACGTTCGTATTATCATTACTCTTACTGCTTATCCTATTTCATGTTGCATTGATCTCTTTCGTCTCATTCTTAATTGATACATTCATCTTTCTCAGTTCATACGAATTAATTAACTTAATTACATATCAATTTAATTTGTTATGCTTTGGATTATCTCATTTTTGGTAGTTTTGACTGAATTCTGAATAGTATAAGTTGGTATATGTGCACTATATCCAGTTTACCCCGATATAGACATTATCATACAAGTTTTCATAGAATTACATTTCGCTATGTTTTGTATTCACAAGATTATATTGCTAATATCACTATAACTATTATTAACTATAACTATTATCAATATTGTTATCTCAATCAGACAGTATTTCTCCTACCATACATTATATTCACATAATTTATTGTAGTTAATTGATTGTTACTCGATATCACACAATAAATTTTCCTAACCTTTCTATTAAATGACCTTTTATTGTATTCAAACCCTAACTGGTGCAAAAGTTCACAAATTTAGCAGTTTAATTAACTCATTCACACATGAGTAACAGTAATTATGGATTTATTATGGTACAACTTGATGAGAAATTGCCTGAATACAATTCAATACAACCATAACATAGTCTTCTTCCAATTAAATGCACATATCAGGGAAAATTGCTCATATCATATCAACTGAACTAACGTTTAGAAAAAATCAGAGGCCTCAGTTCTTGTACAGGAATAGTTATCTGAACACTTGGTCGTATGTTTTTGGGGTACTTGGTTTTCTATGGACAATTTATGATACAACACTTGTAAAATGACACGCTACCCCTCATTTGTTAACTGTAAACTACCATTTTAAAAATTATCTACAAATATAATTACATAGCTTCAGTAAATGATAACGTCTAAAGAAAAATTCTCTTCGCTGAATCACGAGAAATTCTTCTTCAACGATGCAACGAAGTTCTATAGTTATAGTAAGGGTTAACCTCTACGATGTATTTGCACTAATCTGATAGATTCTTGACATTACTAGCTTTTTGAAAGAAAGTAAGACCACCAATAACTGTCTCTGATTCATAAGAAGAAACTAATAGAAAAGTTTTATGTTTTTGACTAAAGAAAACACTTTGTTTATAAAGTTTCACTTCAGTCATTGTAGTTTTCTGAAAGTGCAGGAAACATTCTAAAGAATATTAAGACTGAAATTGATATTGTTGGAAATGTCAATCAATTCCAATGCTTCCAGTTTTTCCATGGTAGTCTAGCTTCAATTGACTAGTGAATTCACTCATAAAAATTCTGCTTTGATTCTGGTATAGTTCAAAGGTCACATTTTGACGGCATTTAATCAAACTGTCACATTTTTCAGTATATCCGACAAAACTGAGTAGGAATGGTAACAGTCAAATAGAAAGCGAGTACCAATAGTCGTCATCACTGTAAATGACAATTGTTTGTTAACATTTACGTAATTAAATAAGTTTAATGAAGTACGTTTACAAGCATAACACATCCTCGTGGTATCTGTTATACAGTTAAACACATATGAATTTTCTTCCCCAATGAGATTAAAGTAAATCTGTACAGTTCAAATGATCTTTAAGTACGTCAATATTTCAGAATTTGACCATGAGTTCAGTCACACTAATATCTATCTAAATCTGATGAACAAACAACGAGTCTAGGTACTAAATTGAATATAGACAGTAAAACCAAAAAAAATTACTCAATACAAATAGTTATTACCTTGGGAAATAATTCAAACTGGATTGAATAGCTCGCCAAACAACATCAAAATATCTTAACAGCATTATTTGATTGCCAATTAAAGTGCCAGTTATTATTGATCGATGGTTTTTTAACATATTTCCGGGTGATAAAGCATATGCAGCAGTATCAGTTGCATTCAGTGAACCACCAGTACATTGAGTTGAAGATAGTTTTTCTGGATCAACTTCCCAAGGTGTAAAACATGTTAGTACACGTTGTATTAACAAGTGAAATAAATGATGAAGATACTGAAAAAGGTTTAATAAAAACAAATTATAAGAGAGAATTTAGTTTTTTAAGGGTCCTCTGAGCAAGATAGTTTATTTTTACACCTATCACTTTCATTATGGAAAAAATCATCATTAACCCACATTTATATGAAGCTAGTGTTGAAGAACTTGTTCAGAATAACAATAAATGCTCTGTAATTAAATCCTTATTTCTTTCAACTAGGATATCATGTCCATGTGGATTTATCATTAAAATAGGGAACAATTGTTGCCAAAATAAAGTATGGAATTAATACAGTTGTGGAATTCCTAATCAAATCAAATAATAACCACAAAGTGCTTTTCATTCAGAAACGCAAACAGTAAGACAAAATAGCAAACATGGAGCAATCTTTTGCAATAATCTATCGTGTCAACAGCAGTCTACCTAATTCCGTCAGACTGCGAATCCTACAGACGGCTGAAGCAATTGCTATTCGGATCAAAATGCCAGAGCTTTGTATCCAAAAGAAGTATGTTCAACCACCCCTTTTACCCTGGACAACTAGCTAATAATCAATCTTATAATGTGGTGACGTAATCTGATTAATGTTCATTTTATGTCCCAAACTTATTATTATTATTACTATTACCGTTGTTATTATTATTATTGTCTTTACACTTGATACCTCTTTTTGAGAAATTTATTCAATATCCACCCTGAATCTACTATATTTGACCTAATTATTTTACATATTACGTAATTTCCGATTTGTAATCACAATATTCTCTCTCTCTCTTACCCCATGTTGACCATATTTATTCTGATAATTTATCTCAATTTCATTTCGCTTATAAACTGATTCAAGTTAACACTTCATATTAGTCAGCCCCAACATTAACGATTTTATTTATGTAACAAACAATTCCTGATTCATATATTACAATTTCCAAATGATGTATTTTGGCCAGTTTTATGGATTATTAATCTGGATTTATAATTGTAGAACCTGATGAGAAATTATTGAAAAGAATATTCTTCGTTCATAAAATTGTGCTTTAAGACAAAATAGTATCAGTGCAATGTCATAAAAAGATAAATTCGCTCTAAAAAACAATCCAACAAATTCGCTTCTGTAAATTATCAGCAATCTGATCACAACTTAAAGTACCAAGATATTTTTTATGGAAAGAAGGAAAACTATATAAAGTAAATAAACCAAAAATGACATTTAGAAATAGAGGAAGGAGAAATAACACGGTGTATAATCAGCAACAACTTTTCATAAAACACCTAGGATTAGAGATAGATTAAAGATTGACAAGAAAAGAACAAACTTTGTAAGTACAAAAAAATGAGAGATTGAATCCGCTGATGACTATAAATGATACAAACTTAATCAAATAATAAATTACATACACATAGAACCCAAAATATTCAAAATGTATTGCATCGCTCTCGCCAAGCGAAGAATTAAAGAAATCCATCCTCTGTGAAAATATCGCAAAATTTTACGCTCCTTATGCTGTTTAATAAATATATAAATCGTCAGCTCTGTGTAAGTGCCCTTTAATGAAGTATTTGTACTGAAAGATGAAAATATCAAAAACTTATTCGGCGAGACTATAATTTACGGACGAAACAATCAGTTCTAAAATAACAGGTTATGAATTTGGGCACGAAACTCATTCATCCATTTGGCTAAATAGCGTATTGGTGTTATAGCAGATGTCAGTTTGTGACGAACACTCTCAATCTAATTCCCAACTTTAACCATCAACCGTAGATCACAATTCCAATTCCTCGCACTGATTTATAACCCTTATTTGGTCCTAGTTATTAGGTGGACACTCTCAAATTCACTATAGCGTCTCTTAAAAGTCGTCCATAAATAATAGTCCCACCACCTATTCAAGAAGTAATCACTAATACATTTAAGTGAACAAGATTTCTACTTTATTATGGAAAAGTTATGAGAACAGTTTAAATGAATAGTTGAAAATGACAGTCTTGATTTTAAGAGTACGTATAAATTCTTAACAAAAATCAACCATCAGTCTAAATAGTTGTTATAGACTTGTTATAAAATTACCTGCAGAATATGGATGAGTAGTCAAGCGATCACTAATTTTTATTTTAAAGTTTAATATCTACTACGGACCTCTGAATTATATGTCGAAAAAGAAGGTGAATAGCATAGAAAAAAACAACTAATTGAAAAGAAAAACAAATAATATACATACTAAATATTGATATCGTAATAATGATCAATTTTTGGTGGAAAAGAACAACAGTATTTTAAAAATATCATTAACCAGTCTTCACTTTTCTCTGTCGTGACTTGAATTAAAATGAAACAGTAGGATTAATGAATATATTATGTGTACACTTAATACTATAAGCAGACAATAAAACTACACAAAGTATATTTTCAGAGGACAATTGAAGTTTGAATGCAGTTTCAGAATATAGACAAGTTTTCCCAAGAGATACTATCGTATTTCAATTAAAAAACAAAATGATTGCAGACATTGTCATATATAAGTCTTAGTAAATGTTGTGAGACAAATACGATATGATTGATCAGAAGTTTATATTGATTTATATTATTTAATATAAAAGAAGCTTGAAAATAACTTGTATTTATCAACAACATGTATGTAATAAAAAGGCATGAAAAAGACATCATATTATACAAATCACAACAATAACTAGGCATCATTTCCAGAATAGTATCAATATTTTAAATCTCTTGAATGAAAATTCAATTAACAGATTTTCAGAATTCATTTGAAAAAATTTAAACTATCTCTTCGAAGATGATTCCATCCCTGTTTTATCCAAAGTTACTCAGGTGTAAATGACTGTTGTTTACTACTGATAATTGTTTTATTCATTTTTGTATTCTTTCCTGATTTGTACGCGCCTACACAAACTGTAATTATTTTTTAAATAGTGTGGATCTGCTACATTTCTGATATACCAACATCTGTGAGCTGTTTCAAGTTCCAGTAGGTTCAGGGTTGTTCACTAAACAAACAACAATCTCTAAATTGAGATCATGAACCAATTGATGTTAGACCATCACAATTGAAAACCTGGAAGCACTGGACGGCCGTTTCGTCCTATTGTGGGACTCCTCAGCAGTGCGCATCCACGATCCCGCGAGCGGGATTTGAACCCAGGGCCTTCGGTCTCGCGCGCAAACTCTTGACCAACTGGACCACTGAGCCGGCATCCAATGGTGATAGTTTCTAACATCAACCAATCCACGAAACTCCCCGACCAACTTCCATTGTACTGAGGTAGATACCTGTCTCTGCCCGACAAGGATTAGCTCCACTGGTCACGGCTTCTCACTAGAACTCCGAGAATTCCCTCACGAAGCTAGTCACTAGTGAGCACATGTTGATTATTAGTATAGGGGTTGGTTGATGTTAGAAACTATCACCATTGGATGCCGGCTCAGTGGTCCAGTTGGTCAATGGTTTGCGCGCGAGACCGAAGGCCCTGGGTTCAAATCCCGCCCGCGGGATCGTGGATGCGCACTGCTGAGGAGTCCCACAATAGGACGAAACGGCCGTCTAGTGCTTCCAGGTTTTTAATTGTGATGGTCTAACATCAATTGGTTCATGATCTCAAACAAAAACTTAATAATCTCCACAACCCCTATACTAGTAATCTCTGAATTATCCTAGGACAACTGATCGCTTTCCAAGATTTGAATGTCTCAACAAAGGGTTTCTTATGCTAATGTTTGTGGGTATACAATTCCCCACGCAAAAAGTCAAATAAAGGTTTCGATATAAACTAAATGCTACTGTCGTATCCGGAGGTTTATTGGATATCATCTCCAGTTTGGAAGCGAAAAAAGACTGAATACAGTAGGAATCGTAGTTATCTTTCTTAATATCTTTTTTATATAATTCCACTATTTCTATGGATAATTTGCTAACTGTTCATTGGGATTTGTTGCCTAAATATTGATATTCTTATTTCAGCCTCTTCCTCTTCTGCCCTGTCTCTTTCTTAGTAGAATATATTTTAATAGACAATTACACCTAGATTTCATGTATACCACAACCAATCTCGTCTGAATACTTGTACCGAATGGAATGAAATTTTATTGTTCAGGTGACCTTTGTTCGCAATTTTGACCTTTAAAGATTACTTTGACCTTTTACCCAAAAATTACTTGCTACTAGGCAATGGGTTAACGACTAAATAGAAAGTGTTCCATTGTACTAACTGAATAAAACATAATTCAATTTAAATTGGTTCGGGTTATCCCATTGTCGATATCTGACTTAAATTTGATCAGTCTTGGTTGGCATATGTACATCTTGTACGCATCACCTCGATACAAAATAGAATCAACTCATCTCATTGGCTATATTAAGACAATTCTCACAGGTTGTACATATGCCAATCAAGATTGGTCAAGTTTCAGTCAAAAATAATAACAACGGGATAATTCAAACCATTTCGAATACAAATTCACTTGGTATTGTTTGGCTTGTATCTTCCCATTGAGGTTTAAGACTACAATTGATCAGTCAGTTATTGGCATATGTGCATACTGTACGTATGCCTCGATATTGCCTTAATTCACAAGCTTTTTGTAAAAAATGATGGATAGTGGCTAGCAGTGAAATCTAGGACGCGCATTTCGTCCTATTTGGGACTCGTCAGCTGGATGTACCTGCATTTTAGAGTTGATGTTCACTTTGGGACTCGAACCCAGTACCATTCGTTTCAAACGCCATCGCGTTATCCACTCAGCTACTGAGTCCTGATAACCACTTGCTTGTGCAGTGGGGTGAATTTAAATCCACTTGATATTGTTTGGATTGTATCTTCCCATTGAGGTTTAAGACTGCAATTGATCAGTCAGTTATTGGCATATGTGCATATTGTACGTATGCCTCGACATTGCCTTAATTCACAAGCTTTTTGTAAGCACTGATGGAGCTATACTGTCTGGAACAACCGTTACACAAGGTCCTACCATTCCAGACAGGTCAGTTGAAGAATGGTAAGACTAAAAGCAACAAACTCAATGTCCGAAGGCGAAGTCGTACTGCTGACTGTATAGAGGTGTGACAGCAGTAACCCAATTTCCTTTCCAGGTACCTCCAGAAGAACCCTCCCACTGTGCGAGAAGTGATAACCGCCATCATACCTCTAACTGCACTCAAGACCACTGTATTCATAATCAACCTCTTCCTTCAGTTCCTATTATTCAAGTTGTAGCCTTTAAGCTTGATCATATGCCATCAATGGAACACATCTTACAACTATACACCTAGTAGTTAACCAAATACTCTACAAATGTTTGTGTAAATTGCTGGTATATTACATTGAAAGTCAATTTATGAATCGGTATGGATTGGCGATGAGAGAAAGCACCCCAAGCTAATTCAAAAACACTTAAGCAATAAAATCACCTTATTAATTAACTATACACTTATAATTAACCTCTAACTAATGCCTATAAAACGCTAATATCCCCTAAACTATCGATATATATATGTTTATATAACATGGTACAGAAAAGAGCAGAATACTGCAATACAACACTGAACTTACAGATGAACCGACAAATTTTACATAACATTCTACAGCTTTCGTTGCCATTGTATTTGATCGAAATGCCATTGATTCATTTTCTACAACAAACAATAGATTATGATAAAAATAATTTCTATACTACAAAGGATATTTGCTTAATGTGAATGCAGATATTGTATGGTAAATAGCAACATTGTTTCAGCGCCTGTAATGATATTTTGAGAAAATAAACATCTGTATCCGTAGTATTTCACTCTTTCTGAAAATGTACTCTAAAAAAAGATTCTCACTTCTTGATTGTATGTGCATAATAAATATTAAGATGTTTATAGGAATCATTGCCAAAGTTTGACTTGGTAATTCCAAATAAATTGAGCATTAGGTAGATTTTTACAAATAAATTAATATATTTGTAGTGTCCCAATGAGTAGAAAAATTAGGTTTTTAAATTTTCTGACGTTTCTGGACTTAGTATAAGCCACTTCTTCATCATCAAAATAACACAAAAAGGCTTTTCCAACTAAAAAGAAAAGCGAATAGATAAAGCTTTCATATATTGCCCAATCCTACTGACCTCAATAGAAAAGATGGCCTCAATATCCATTTGATTTGGACCATCTATCCGAGTTACCATTTCTGATTCTATTCACATTTCACACTATTATCGTACATAAAAATTCAACTCTAAGCTTTCGCACCACAAATGTCACATTTTTCATCCTTTACAATACCTGCACACAAATATACAAACATGCCTCATATAAATCACCTTGACCGGGATGACAGTGACTTGGCCAGACCTGTTTTTGATCGATCGCACCCAATATTCTTGCTTTGTTTCTTTGTACTAGTTAAACTTGGATTAATTTTATGTGGTTATTTATTCTCTGAAGAAGTGGCTTAGACAGAGTTGTGAAACATCAGAAAATTTAGAAACTTGTTCTTTTTTACTCATTGAGATAATGTAAATGTATTATTTATATTAAAATGTTTATTTAATTTGTGTTTAAGAATGATCAGTCAGCTTGATAGATTTTCCTTTATAAACTAGGAAGATTTATCAGAAGGGGTTTTGTGGAGATTTTAGTCCCATACCAGGACGAAATAACCGTCAAGTACTTCCAGGTTTTCTATGGTTGTCCAGCATCAATTGATGCAAGAATTCAAATATAATAAGATCTATTTGTGTGCTTTGTTAACAATTTGTCTAATATGATATATTATGTGGTTATGATTTAGTTTCTGTAGTTTGGAAAATAAAAAATATTTAAAAATTAGTGTCATATTCATTTATATTATGAAAAGAATTAATTAAATATTGATCTGGTGTTATTTATGTTTGTTTAGACTATGTAGATAGTTACATAAATCAGAACTGAACCATCTTAGAGATTATTTTAAAATGAGCAAGTTAACTTTAGTTACAAGTTATTAATCATGAGATTTTGAAAAGTCATCATTCCTTGAAAATTTGTACACATGTAAGAAGTGAATGTGATAATTTTTGTTAAGAAAATATTGAAATTATATCTGAACAAACAAATATTGGGGGTAAAGTAAAGATCACATCGCATTTTAATGCAACTCAGTGCAAAAAATGACCACTGAAAGTTCAATAATGAAGTTTAATAAGATAGAGAAACGACTAATAAACATTATTATAATCATTATATGGTGTCATAAGAAAAAAACCTGTAAATTAAGAAACAAAACCTATAGTGGTTAGCCGAGTCACCAACTTTTTTTTACCAAAATCAGTAACCAACTATTTGATATTCATTGAACAAGAAATCTTAAAGCGGAATAAATGATTTCAATCTGAAATTAGTTTTTAGTAGGAAAAACAACACTCATGAAAGTGTTGATGCATAAAGTAATGTCATTTTAAATTCAAGAAAATGTGACATTCGAATTCCCCCTTATTAGCCACTATTAAATGGAATTTTACCTTTATTATTTTTATTTAACTCGTATACCATAGTTTTAAACCCTTTTTAATACGAAAAAGTGAAAAGAATTAATATGAAATTATTTACAACCAATCAGTTATTTAACAAATTTTATATAAGTACATCAATAACGCTACCATATTACTTTAGAAAAACAAAAGAGTATAATTGGTAGAGAATAATCATTTGAACTAGAATAAAGTAAACGTAACATAAGAAGTAGATCGTAGTGAATAATATGATTTAACAAAGAATAACTTTATGAACCGATAAATCATAATTGATAATCTCTGTTTCACAATGTTCTTCATAAGTATCCAATAAAGTATCCTGATGTAGAGATGATAATAGAACTCCTCATTTATTCTAATATTCAATCATTAAAATCCCAACTTAATTATTTCATTTCATAAATAATAAGGAAACCATGAAAACATAAAGACTGATTCTTATTCACTTGGTATTGTTTTACTTGAATCTTCCCATTGATGTTTTAGGACTGAAATTGATCAGTCTCTTATTGGCATATGTGCATACTGTGCGAATCCCTCGATATTGCCTTAATTTACAAGCATTATAAGCAAAGATGGATAGTGGCTAGCAGCGGAGACTGATCAATTTCAGTCCTAAAACATCAATGGGAAGATTCAAATAAAACAATACCAAGTGAATTAAACTTCACCCCATCGCACAAGCGAGTGGCTATCAGGACTCAGTAGCTAAGTGGATAACGCGATGGCGTTTCAAGCGAAAGGTACTGAGTTCAAGTCCCAGGGTGAACATCAACTCGGATGCAGGTAAGTCCAGCTGACGAGTCCCGAGCAGGACGAAACGCGCTTCCTAGATTCCACTGCTAGCCACTATCCATGATTACTGATTCTTATGTTGTTTTCTTTTTTGTATTCTCAGTACCCAATGTTTATAAGTACATGTTCATTCATAGAATCAATAGTATATTGAATTATTTCGATTAAAACCAATGAGATTTTTTTTTAAAAAAAAAGAAAGCTACAATGTAAATAATAATTTTACACATACAAAATACACATTTATGAGAATATTCATTTGAAGAATTATAATCTTAATGATGAAAGACTAACTTCTTTTTCTTTATATCTATGTTTACTTCTATATTTATCAAACGAGATTATTTTCATGTAATAACATGTATTTAGAAGAAAAAAGATTTCTGGTAAAAAGAAATCGATTTATCAAAAGAAATACAATAGAAATATGAAAGTGTATAAAATACAAACGATGAGACTATAATTTATGGATGACCTTTAAGCGACTCTAGACTAACCTTGAGAATGTTCACCTATTTACGGGGGCTAAATGAGGGTTATAAAGCAGTTTGAAGAATAAGGATTATGATTTACAGTTAATGGTTAAGGTTAGGAATTAGATTTAAATCTTCCATCATGAACTGACATCAGCTATAATGTCAAAACTCTATTTAGTCAAATGGGTGGATAAATTTCGCGCCAAAATTGAAGACCTGTTATCGTAAATCTGATTGGTTCGTCTATATATATTAGTCTCGCCATACAAACATTTAAAGTGATAATCAGATAATATGCATAAATATATACATTGATTAAATGTAAAAGTTTACATTAGTAATCCGTAAAGTATGGCATACACATTAAACATATATATATATATATATATATATATATATATATATATATATATATATATATATATATATATATATATATATATATATATATATATATAATCTAAAATTGCTCCTAAATGCTCTGGTACGGATGAGAGTGGGGAGAGTCCGCTCTCCCTCTCGAAATGCTCCCACACGGCCACGCATATATAGCCTCTGCTAAGGAAGTTTTATTCATTGCCTTCTCGTGGCGGGGGTGATGTTTATGAATTTGAGAGGACGAAAAGCGAACGTCCGGCGCTTTAACCGGGTTGGGGGACATGGAGAGTCCACCTAGGGGAGTTGAAAAACCCGGATTCCAAGCCAATAGTCCACATGGGCTCCACTATCTTAAAGGAACAAATGGCGTATGAACCAATCGTTAGTCACCGGCTACCATGGGACTGCATCTCCTTACGATGCTCCACTGCCTTGTGGATCAGACTCGTAGGTCGAAGGTTCCGGGTGTAGCCCCCCTAAGTAAACCACCTGCTTCGGTTCGGACACCCGGGCAGTATCACAGTCCTCACACAAATCAAATGAGATTTGTGTGGCACATATGTATCCAGTACCCCCTTGTATCAGTATTTATGTGTTCAAATAAATAAATAAAATAAAATGACAAAATATAAAAAGTCAAAGTCAACGGTTTTATTTGCTTCGATTTATTCTTGAGATTTTTATGGTCCCCATCACGACACTTAATAAGTTTGGAAAGAATTATTTTCTAATGAATTATTTACATTTCATAAATTCCCTGAAAGCTTTTCCAGATTTTCATTAAAAAAACCTTCATAGGTAAGTGTATAAACGAATTAGACAGGAGTCGTATATACATTAACCAATATATTTAATCTACAAAAAGTTGATTTAATGAATCGGATCACAAAATTGTATTTGTTAGTAAATTCAGTATGCCACTGATCACCATAAATGACTGCAATTAATACGGCAGTAACAGTTGTAAAATAACATTAATGGCCATTATTATATTCAAGCAAATAATTAGTGATAACGTATCCTCTTTAAATATCCTTTAATCTACTAGTGCGTTCTAATCCTAAGCAATTATCTTAATTTCCTTACAACTTTCCCCTCACCCAGTAAAATGAATGTCAAATACATAAAACATTTGTCCACAAAAAGAGAAATACAAAAATTCTAACAAATACCTTATGTCTAGCTTATGCATTATATAACGTAAAAGTTGTATAAATAGAACTAATGGATAATCGTTGTGCCTAACCGTCAGCTACTGTTTAGAAATGTCTCTAGAATTTAATTTAAATATTTGCAATTAAAATGTATATAATATTATGAAATATTTTGTAGTAGTTTCTAACCTGTGGTGCTACGAACGATAAATCGGTGAGAATAACTAAATTTTTTTTCGTTTATACAAAATGACAGAGCGACTTCACAAAATACGAAAACCAAACGTTAGATACATCACTCTCATATCTTCCCTCAGTTTTGCTATACGTGCTTCATAACTCTTTCAATTCTGTCGTCAGTAAAATCGCTCTCCATTTCCTTTCGATTTCTCTTCAATTCAATCTTCTGCCTACAGACATTCTACTGCTGACTGTTGCTACACGCTACTTATATCTCTAAGCATAAGTAGCATGTACCGCAGTGGAAAGATTATGTTATTGTATTCAAGCATGTAGTACTAAATAAAGTGATTAGTATTATTATCATCCTAAGACAAAATATATAAGATTGATACATGACTGAAGAATAGAATGATATAATCTATTTCACATAAACACTTAACATTTTAGTTGATTATAAAAAGGAAAGTTAACGTGACAGTTTACAGTGCCATTCTGAAAAAGTCGTTTGTCAATCTCTTAACCACAACTAATCAATATTCATGACTGAATCACTAATTTAAAAGGAAGTAGTTCAATTTGTTTTAACTTGCATTATATATAAAGATAATCTTGAAGATAGGAAAATTTAACAACATGCAATGCGGTATTACATCATGAAATATTATGTCCATCATTTGAATATCGAAAATAATTTTTTATTAATATACACTTAGAAAATGAAAGTAAAAACTATCCTTATAAACAACCAACATAAAAACATTTCACTTGTGAATGAAGTTGTTTTTTTCAAAACAGAAGTCAGAATAACGCTGATTGATTACTACCGATAGCTAATGTTCTGTTTATTTAGTTCTTAATGCCTCTTATCGAATTATGCTGACCGATATGTATTAATGATCACTTATCTAATTGATCTGACATCAAGTGGTATAGATTAGAATCACATAATGATCAATTATTGCCCAGAGATTGTAAATCCAAACTGTTGACAGGTTTCGACAATAATGAAACCTTGGTGCAAGTTTTCGTGCAAATAGCCTTTAAATATCTAACATTGGAGATTTGAGTTTTATGTCTAAACTTCTACTCTGATGATTAAAGTCAGTAAATGGATAAATTAAATTAAATTTTAGCAATTTTCAGATGAATATTTACATGTTGTTTATTTTTCATATTGTAATGAAAACTGTTTTTAGTGGATTTCAATTTAAAAGATTGTATAGCATCTCAATAGTCTTATGTATCATACCCATTTTTCTAGAAATCAATGTATTTAGTTTCCCAGATAAATTTTTTTTCTTTTCCAAATCACATAGATAATTTACTCTTATAGTTCATAAATCTGTGAATATTTACATTCCCGAGTACAGTAATCTTCTTGTTGGCAATTATATTTTATTCTTTAAACACTGTTATTCATAACTTGTATATTTTGTATTTAATTAAATGTTTACTTAATAACAATTATTGATGACAACTTTCTACATCTGTTTCCCTGTATGGGATTCTGTCAGCTTACCAGTTATTGTGAAGTAAGGTATGAATTTAGTGATTACTTAATACTAATTTGCTGAAGTATGTTTGTTAAAATTCCAGTATGTTAGTTTTGTATCAGTCAGTCAGTTAGCTACAACGTAGGACCAGGCACATACATATATTGGTCCGAATTGCTATACCTCATTAGTCTTGAATGCTGTTAGAGGTAGAAGGGCGGTTATTACTTCCCGGTTGCCCACACGGTGAAAAGGTTCTTCTGGAAGTACCTGAAAAGAAAACTGGGTTAAAGGTGGTCTTAATGATCTAAGAGCGTGACTGCAGTGCCCAAGGAACAACTGCTTGGAACCAGTTACACAACCATTTTGTGAGTAGTTTTTGTGTTAGCTCAGTACTTATTGGGACCTTATCGCCGGAGACGGAGGTTCGCGGGATAGGGCGAAGTATGCATTTTTAGGATCGGCCTTTTCTAACCCCACACCTTCTTGTGGGAAGGCAGCATTGCTGTTATGCTGGTCAGCAGTACAACTTCGCCTTCGGACATTGAGTTTGCTGCTTTTAGTCTTACCGTTCTTCAACCGACCTCTCTGGTATGGCAGGACGTTGAGGAACGATTGTCCCAGCCAGTATAGCTTGAGTAGTTTATCACAACAGGCAACCCCAACCACAACATCAAGGTAGCAACAAGGGTCGGGTAGTTTTGTATACTCTCTTATTAAATAAGCACATCTCGAAGGCTTCATATGTGACCTTTTATTGAGGCCATTTACAAAATATAAATTCGTACTGTAACTCTTAATAATACGTAACCGATGTAATTCACTGTTAGATAAATACGCCTTGATAATAATTAGGTTGAAGAGTAGTCGTTTGACTGCATTTTGTATTTTCCATTCACTATATGTTTGGCACCTTATACATAGATTGTAAGTAGTAATACATTTGCAAAACAAAAATAGTTTATTATTGAATCTATGACGTTGAAAGCGGAACTTGTGGGATATCCGAGAAAAAAACATAGAATCTTGTTTTTAAAAATACAGTAAATAAAATTTTAACAAGAGCTTACTAATCAATAGATACTTACAAGATACAAAGTGAGCTTTAAAAAGACTTAGTAATTGGAGATCATTAAATAATGTGACATGAATAATTTAATAAAAGCTGTTGTCATCAATTATTATGCATAAACTGTTCCAGCATAGTTTGTTGGTTAATTTCAATAATTACTCCTAAAAACTATTACCAAAGATAATAAATGCCCAAAACAATTTGGTATGTAATCATGAGTTCAAGAAATGATAAGAACTATAAGATTGTTTTTAATTATGTAAATGTATTAAATTTATGTATCTATACTAATCTTTAAATAAAACTCAGGTTGTCATATCATACTGATATTTGTTCAGGGTCTAAGCTTAATCAATAAAGTCCAAATATAGAAATTATCATGAAAGTCTCTCTTCCAAGCGTTTAATGTTATAAGTTACCATGACAATAAGAATACATTTCGTAAGAGGAGATATATATATATAGCACTTACCTAAGTCAGAAACTTCTCGAACAACTAAACTGGTCAAAAACTCAATCAGCGTGTTATTATTTTCATGTAAATAAACCAGTGAATTTGCTAATTCTTCTTTGAGTTTAACAGATATTAATAACGATTCTAACCAGTTCGTTAACAATAAACTATTATTCAGTACAAGCTGAAATGAATGAAGGATTTGGAAAATAAAATAAAAATCATACAACATTCATAGAATAAGATAAACAATACTTTTTTTACTTACTGTAAGTATATACCATAAAGTATAATCTCGACTACCAGACAATTTTTTAAAGTAATTTGAACCAAAAAATCTATTTTGTATATTCAAAAACATTTTATTGGTTGAACAGATTCAAGGCTGTCAGGTTTTTGTCTATAGCTAGTATAGTTTAATAATTAAAATAAGAAAGTGACAAAACATAATAAGCGATTGTTTTTCAAAAGTCTTTTAGATATTCACTTCTATTTTGGGCTTCACAATCTAATGAATCTACGTTTTCTTACTCTATATTTAAAAAGGTAACTCATTGAAATTGTAAATACGTGCTTACAAGATATACTTTCCTACATTATGACTAAAGAAATTTCTATTGTCCATCAATGATACTGATAACATATATTTGTGCTGTTGAAGTGTCATAATCCACTGTTAAACAGTGAGTTTTTTTATTATAAACGAACAGAGAAAAATCCAAATTCAGACTGTAATAATCAAGATTCCTATCATTCATGTTACGATCGGTAATATATCTACTGAAATTGAGTAATATCATTATTATAGTCAAGGTATAATAAAATGATCACAGAAATGTGCTATGTATTACAAAAACAAGTATTTTACACAAAGGAAATGATAGAACTACAGATCTGGGTATGATGAATAATCAGTTGACAAAGGGCATATTTATCGTAATTGATATGAACAGATCAAATTAAATGTGTATATTTTAGATTAGTCTTAAACGTTTCTTTCAACACGAAATTCTGTTTTTGTCAGAAAAATTAGTATTTCAAAACATTGAAATAAACCAGAACGAATAAAGACTAACCGTTCTTAAAGGCCAATAATTACACAATGGTAATACACCAAGTGATTGATAGCGTGCACGAATACGTAATTGTGGAAAATTTGTCTGATCTGTTATTCCATTATTATAAGAATGATTATGTAATAGGTTTAATGATGAAGAATCGAGCTTATTTAGTTTTGCAGAATTTAATTTATCAAATTGTTGAGAATCTGTGTAAGTTGTATCCAAACTACTGAGTAAATTGTCTTGACTTGAAGAATTTTCGATGGGAGGTTGTAAAGTTAACCATGTTTGAATGTCAGTACGACTAGATATTTCGGTAACGGGTATTGTGATGTAACCTATTAATCATAATAATAATAATCAATAAAAAAGGACAAAATTATTCGTTTATACAGATAAAAAATTTGTTAAATAATAGTGACTAACATAACTCAGCGATTTAATGGATATTGATTTGTCATTTTGAAGAGATAGCTACTTGGTCTAATTATTACTGTGATATTATATTGAATAGAATGAAACACTACCTCAAAATTTTTGTGTTTATCACTACTACAAATCATTCATGATATTTACTTAGTTGATTCCAAGAAAATTTCAGAAGAGTAGGTAAGGATTAAATGTGATAATCAGGTTATAATTTAATTAGCAAGTATTTGGCCTACAAAAACAATACATTACATTGAGCTCAATGTTAAATAAGACATCTTATTTCTGTGTTAATGATTTGTAAATAAATGTGTAATTCAATTTTAAATTAATTGTATTATGTTGTTGTTGTCGATATTTTTGACTAAGATTTGATCAGTCTTGATTGGCAAATGTACATCCTGTCCAGATTACTTTGAGTGTCTTTCATAGTGTTTCATTTAAGATGATCTTTCAACAATTCGAACACAAGAACAGTTAAACGTTGGTTATATTCTATAATTTTGTATCATCTACCAGTCAGTGTTCTTTTAACGATTTTTACAACTTTAATATGTTTATTACAGATTCATAACAAATTTCTGACAATACGTAGTTTTTATGATGGAATCAAACTTGAGAGCTTCACGTCTGATGGTAGGCATCGTAAACCATTAAGCCACTTCTAGTCCTAATCCAGAGGTTCACATTCGTGAATTCAGATACCTGGTGATATATAGTGTAATTTGTTCAATAAGTTGGAAAGATACGGTTAACTATGATAGCCTATCAATATTTTTCACGTAATAAATAGAAAATTAAGATAAACTTCTTACCAATTAATTGATTTTGAGCTTTTCTGTTCTTTTTCAAGCTTAATCTCGACGCCCCAATCCGTCTTGAATCTCTACTGGTTGACCCACCTTCTCGATATAAACTGATTGTCATTACAGAAACATTTGGAAGATTACTAAAATTAAATAGTTAAAAGTTATAACATGAGTGGACTTATAACATTAGTTTTGTTCAGGTGTAAAACAGATGTCCAATCGATTTTAGAGTTTTATTAACACTGCCAAATTTAAATAATCATCTTTGACTTATGAAGCAAGTTAAGTAAAATGTATAAATACTATAGTTATTTAATTAGATAAAGAATAAATAACTAATGACCAGTTATCATCAAATTTATTGGTTTCATATCGAAATATAGTTCAGTTGACTCAAATTTAACATTAGATTATTGTAACGAAACAATTGATTTGTGTAAATATTTCAGTGACAGAGATGATTGAATCAACGCGAAATACAAAATAGATTTTCCATTTAAAGTTTTACGAAAACTTAGTGGCATGACAAAAATATAGGGACGAACTTGGAGGAATTGAATAGTGACCCTTAGAAATGCTTGAATACTGTGAACTAATGTGAAAATAGATAATGAAAACGTTTAGTTCTAACTTTTTGAAAATTAAGATCATTTTACTCCTTTAACACAGTTTTGGAAATTCTAAAATGCATTTTTCGAGAAAGACAATCAAAGCTTCACGATCGAACCAGATTGGTTAGAGAACAAACAACTTGAAAATCCTTATTCTGGACTAAAACATTTCCCACCATCTCAAAATTAAAATGTATTTAACGTTTTTATATGACCGACGAGTTTTTCTAGTTCATTTTCGAGCGAACGGAAAACAAATAACTTATTAAGGGTTTCTTTTATCTACACTGTTGTCACCGAAACAACATTATCTCGTTTATTTTGACGCTATATTGGACTTATCTCCTCACTATAATCCTATAAAATGGTTCTCTGAAGCAATCTCGCCTATTGTGATTACGCTATTTCTACATTTTCTTGCAAATCACAAAGCATGCGAGTGGCACCCAACATACATATTTGAACTGTGCACTGTTATCTTAAAATCCCATTTCGAAAACAGGCTGGGTTGATACCTATATTCGATTAGTTATCAAAAGACAGAAGCACTTGTGATCTGACTGAATATATTGGTATATAATAAGAGTTGTCATTTTATGTAAATAACATTTAGCCGGTAAGGTTTCCTAACAAGTTACACATCAGATAACAAACAATGAATCAGATAGATATGAAGATGGATTTCACAAAATAAGTAGAAACAACTAGATGACCTTAGCCAATGAAAAGAGTAATAATTCTAGAAACGTCATTACTATTAATAAGATTGCAATAAATATTCAATATCAATCAATAACATACTTTAAATCAAAATCCTCCGCCCAAAATATGCCTGAAACAGCTGTCTTACTGGTAGTACGCGCATACAAAGTTCGATCCAAACAAATATCACAGTAGTAACTTTGGAAAAAAGATGTTCAAGAAAATAATCAAATCTGTATTACGATTTGTTATAATATAAAATAAAACAAGAAATTAAATTATAGACTACAATAGTGAAATCATACTTCATATACTGAAATGTAATGCCTATGTTGAGTCCTTAGCAGAAAGCCTTTTTAAATGTAAACACATGATTTTTTCGACATTTAGAAACACAAGAGAAACAGATACAGTAACTAGAGCAAATACATTTTCACTGGTATACTCTCTATACGTTTGCATTATTTTGTTCGCTCTTCGTTTATTTTTAGCCCAAATATTTGATTGTAGTGTTACTAGATGACAATACTCCTTAGCTCAGATGTCTAACATGGTCATCTTCATTCGGATGATGAATTACATACTAAACTCAATAAATGAAAAGAAAAAAGTCAACTTTTGATAGACGGTGTTTTTTTTTAAGAAAAAGAAAACAACTGTTATTGTATTAACACAAACAAGGAAAGAGAGCAAAACAGAGAAAACCGAACCCTTCAAAAATGGAGTTTTAAAAAATGTTGAACCCTGTGAAACCTCAATATAAACATCAGAATGATTTGATAATATTATCAGTAATATAAATTACTATTTTTTTCTAAATTATCACATATACTTTAGATGAGACAATACTTCGGGCATATCCGATAAGAAATTCCTTTGTTTACTAATTTTACAACCATTTTGAATTAGTGATATATATCGCTTAAGTCTCTTTGGTACACCACATTAATTTAACTCTTATGATGGGTGGTAATGTTGAGTAAATTATTTTATTATTTCAAAGTGAGAATAAAACTTTAGAAAATAATCTAGTGAACTTTTATTTACAAATCAGTATGTCCTCAATATTGTGCGACCATCCCTCATTCATTAAAGTGAATAACTGTCTCACATCAGTCATGGTTTAATTTCACGAGTCACAGCTTCCCAATAGAACTCTAGTAATCGGATCTGGAAGTTATTCATCAGTGTGCATATGATTATCATTTGTACAAGAATTTTGTGGAGATTATTGGATTTTCTTAGTTTACATGACAGACTGATCTTGGTAAGGCAACCATTGAAAATCAGACAGAGCTGGACAGCTGTTTTGTACTGGTAGAATTACTAATTTGAATTAAATTCGTGAAGTCGTAGAGACAATTTCTAATAAAAATTATAATGATACCGATTCCACAATTGGAACAATGTGAATTCATAAGTATCTGTGACGGTTCTTGCCTAGTTAAGGTTAAACAAAATGGAAACGGACATTTTCGGTTAACCACTTTCAATAAATGAATGAATTTGATAAAACTCGGATGTTCTGTGTCTATCACTATCCTACGAATTGCAATGATAAACAACAATTCGCGAGATTATTCCTCTAAAACCCAGTAGATGTCCCACGTTTATCAGCCTTCCTTATGTACACAAATTTTGTGAGAGGAATAAGGGATGAATACACGCTTAACTGAATCATAAACCATATGACGCTGTAAAATGTAAATTATCTATACGAGCTTCTTTTCAGAGATAAAATTACTCCTTTATCTACTTCACCTTCACCAAATATCAGTCAGTCAAGCGCAACGTAGAACATGGTAACTATGCACAAAAAATGGATCAACATTTGTCATTACAAAGGATTTTATGTCATCCCACTTAAAGTCTTTAACCATTGGTTACTATGATCATAAGGACATCAAAGAGGTATTCTGCACCTAATTAGATGACTCAGTTCATCATCCAGTGATTTAATGGATTGATACCATGTCATGATTTCGTCACACCTAGCTTTCTTCCGACCTACTCCTACACTAGATGACATAGAGCGTCAAGGTAGGCGACGAGCATAACACATGTCGCAACTACTGTAATTGATGAAAACTCATTACATCATCAATCGTTTTCCATATTTACCTATTACCCTATCCCTTCATTTCTACTATTACTATACATTATAACAAATCTTTTGGAATGTTAGATAATTGAGAAATCATCTAAATTGTGTCGAACTTCTCAAATAGTCTATTTTTATGAAGTAAAAATGAATTCGTTTGTCCAAATCTATAAAAAAGGCTTCATTAAGATAAAAGATTAGTTGTTTTTTGTTTGTTAAATTTATTTATTTTTGGATTTCAGTTTGGTTTTTAATATATATTATGTCATTCCCTGAAGACTAACGGACAACCTAAGAGCGTGTATTATGCAATTGGAATATGACAGAAGCAAGATGATGACCTAATAATTTATTTCTGGTAACACTTAGTTTAAGAATACAAGGTTTACTAGTTGGATGTGTTGAATAGATCAACCTCAACCACGAAAAGAAGCGAATTTCGGGGAATAAAAATGAATCTGAAAAGATGTATCATCTTTATAGTTAACATTAGGGATTGATCTTATTTAAACAATCATTAAAACCAGAAAGCTGTGGACAGCTGTCTAGTCCTAGTGTAGGACTCTCCGATGGTTATTGTTCAAGAAACCCTTGAGGATCAAGCCTAGGGCCATAAGATCTTGCATGGAGCCCTTTACCTTTAAACCAATGAGCGAACACTCAGTGGATTTCATGTTTAAATATAATAAATTTGCAACATTCCACAAACACCTGATGTTATCGGTGGTTGACTGTCTCATATATCTATGATTTTACCAATAAAATTCAATGATTATCACGAACAGTAACTGAAATAATACTTGTGGTGACAGTTTTCATTTTTCTTAATTGTTTAAATATTTTTTCTTGATACACATTAAAATATTATTGATCTTAGTGTTACAATTATTTTGAGAGTATAAAGAAACAAAATTTGTAAACTCCTTATAAGAAATTCTGAGATTATGTTTTATCATCTACAAATAAATGTAAAGTCCTCTTTTTTTTGAAAGAAAAATGATTGACAGATAGTGAGTGGGTAAACTATTCCTTTATTTAGTCTATGTGAAATAAATTAATGACTGAATTGATTTTATTATTTTAGCGTTCATCTAGCCTTTCTTTAGTACATAAATTCTTTCATTTAAGAAAACTGTTATAAAAGTAAACTGGATAAAATGTAATCTAAAATGGTTTACCTCAAATATGTACACTTCAAAATCTATGTCTGGATGAAAAATCAATCAATTATAATTACAGGTTATGATTCAATTAAATGAAAGTAATTATTTATTTAAATTCCAATATAATTATATTATGAAGTGGTGGGATAATATGTAACTAGGACACTAATACCCATCAAGAACTAAATAAATTAGAAATTGCAGTGAATTTGAAAAATGTATGAAATATACAGGTATTTAACCAATGATGACTTTATACTGTTTTATTTGTTTATTTGAAGTAAATTATGACCAATGTTGCGCTTAGAAAGTAGTGAGTCATTAGTTATAATTGTAAAGCGATGTCAAACAGAACGTACAATCCATAACCATTAAACTTGGATTTAATCAAGGTGATATACTATCTTAAATAAGTCCAAGTCTTGAACCAGCCTAAAAACTTGTCAAATAAAGGGTTCTACATCAATCATGAAAGTTTCTTATAGACGATAAATAATTACAGTGACTATTGAAATTTATGGATAGATGTGCAAGAAATGTTGAACACGTTATAAGATATTTCAGATAATATAACTCTAGGTAATGTGAAAATATGACTTCATAATTGACTTTAATGATATTTTTTATGCTCAATTTATTATCGTCGCTAGTACCATAAATTCCATATGTTATTGGTATTTCGTGAAATATTGCATGTTGTTTTTAAATGTATAGACTAAAACCAATTATATGCTGCTTTCCTCTTTCGTAGAAGGAAACATTCTACGGAATTCTGGAAACAATGCTTTTATCTCCATATCACCAACTTAATAACTCGAAAAGATCATGAGATATACATTTTTTACCGTATCCTGTTTGTGGCCAGAAATACAACTTAAAAGATGAATTAAAATACATTACATACATTCGGGCAATGTGCAATTTGGAGAACGATACTATGTGACCGTCATTGATGACATCTAATAGTGTATTTCATTCTATGTACAGGTTAATATTACTATTATCATTTCCAGTATTACTACTTTCATTTTAAGAAGACATACTAAATAGAAAAGGTCAATTCTTTCCCTAACCAATGATGAACTGAATGTAACGAATAGCATCTGAAATGAGATCGAGAGTTAGTTTTGCTGATAAATCAAAAACTACACAACGTTTCCCCACTTCCCGCATTTATCCAACTAATATCAGCTCATGATGAAACCTTTCTATATTCGAAACTAATAATGATCTTGCAAACACTTAAGGAAATAAAAAATCCACTCGGTTAAACTAAATATCAAGATTGAAAATCAAATAGTTTTTCTTTCTTCTACAAAAAAGCAGACGAGAGAAAAGACAAGTTTAAATATTTTAAATGACCGTACATGAATAAATTATTTCTTTAATTACTAAGTTACGAAAATGTTTTTAACTTCTTATGTAAAATTAATATGAATAAACAACTGTTTCGCTTTTTACTTTCAATATACAGTCCGACATAGATAAGCTGATGTAATCATAAATATATATATATAACAATTATTCTAACAGTACCACAATTCTTATTACATTCTAGCTATTAAAAACATAATTCACTGGGTATTGTTTGCTTGTATCTTCCCATTGTTGTTTAGGACTGCAATTGATCAATCCATTGTTGAGATATGTGTATCCTGTGCAAACTACCTCGATATTACCTATAGTCACAATCTTTATAAACAAAAATGGATAGGGGTTAGCAGTGGAATCCAGGACGCGTGTTTCGTCTTACTTGGTACTCGTCAGCTGGATGTACCTGCATCCTAGAGTTGATGTCCACACCGGGACTCAAACAAGAGATTGATCAATTGCAGTCCTAAACAACAATGAGAAGGTACAAGCAAACAATACCAAGTGAATTAAACTTTATCCCATTGCACAAACACATGGCTATCTGTATTCATTAGCTAAGTAGACAACGCGATGTGTTTAAACCAAATGGTACTGGGTTGGAGTCCCGGAGTGAAAATTAACTTTGAGGTGTAGGTACATCCAGCTGATGAGTCCCAAATAGGACGAAGAGCACGTCCTCGATTACACTACTAACCACTATCTATCTTTACTTATTAAAAACATAATTTTAAAGTATTACGCCTGTTAATTTTGCGACATTATATTATATAGGATTGATATATATTCATCCAAAATAAACTTAAACGGATATTTAAGTTTATTAAAACAAACTAACATGAATGTGATTAGGTGAACTTAGTTTTACTATTCCGGTGAGTCATTCGTAATATCAACAATGATTAAATTTGTAATATGAATGAAGAAGTTTTAAATGTTCTATCACCAATAAATTATACACATATATATTCCGAGAGACAAACGGTAACTTTACGTCTTGGATTATGATATTCACGAGAGTGATATTCAATGTAACTGAACAATTTTACAAAAATCATATGTTTTTCAGGTAAATATAAAGTATAGGGACAAAATTTCAAAAACCATAACATCATTTACAACTAGTTCTCAGACAATCACATAACACCAATTGTAAATGGATAAATCAGGAAAAACAAAACAATATTGTTGTAAAGCTTGAACAGATTTTACATGACTAGTGAATCTAATAAGGTCTTATACAGGTTACCATGTATATTAATCATGTAATTCAACAACATATAAATTCATTCTTGTGAATACAGACGGTTTGACTTCAAGACCAATAATAGGAACTGAATAAACTTTTAAGAATCTCCACATTGTTCCTTGTTAGGGTTGTAATTTTCATCATGAACTAACACATGATGTGATGCAAAAGTGTTTTGTAGTCAACCAGACCAATGAATTTTCATTATAAATATAAGAGTCACTATTTATTTAGTTTGTCCATAAAATAGAATAACATCATGTTACGGTAGGAATTTAGTGATAGAGTTGATTTCCCAGTTATATATAATCGACGGATACCTAAGTAAAGATTCGTTACGTTAAACATTATCATTTTTACAGTATGGTAATTTTCCTTTATGACTTTAAACGTCTTGCGAAGTATATAAATATATGTCTACTACTTCTTATACCTAAAACTCGCGTTCTCGATTCTGGTTAGCTCCTCCCTACGCTATAATTTTGCCTTTTTTTCGTTTACTGTTCTATCATTCACTTTAAAGGATATTACTTCAATTAAACTGTCTAAATTCCTTTCGATTGCAATTAAGTTTCTTTGGCTTTTATCTAGTGACAACTAAACCAAGAGAATAGATACAACTATCGACCATAATTCTTTAAAGTATTAAATGTTTTGCCAGAAGACAGTGTGAATGGAAGATATATAAATAATTGTGAATCGATTGAAGTTAGATATGTAAATGCTAGGATACTAACTTAGTAATATAAAGGACAAACGATAGCCTAGGTTTGATTCCCCGTGTTATTGTATTTATGTACTGTTGAGGAGTGCTACACTTTTTATACTGCTTTCTGGTTTCCAATGGTTATTTAACGTAGATCAATCAGTTATGTAAGCTATAAACTTCAACAATTTACGCAAACCCATAATACATATAAGTTTTTATTTGCTAAAATCGCCAAAACTTGATACACACTATAAAACTAATAACATATTATCGATGTTCCCTAAACAAAAACTACCTGAAACATAGAATCATGAGAACATAACATAATTAATCTGATACTTAACGACTGGCTGAGAAACTTTTCAATATAAATAGTTAGATACAATAATAAAGTGAGTGATAATACAACATACTAACCATTGATTTTCTAAATGTTACTCATACTTTAAATTATTTTTATTTCAGGAAATAATTCCGAAGGTAACAACAATAAATAATCAAAACATTTCTATTCAATTAAACAATAAAACAATCATTATCATCATAAATAATTGGCATATTAATGAATGTTAAATAAATTCAAAAGAATGGTGTACAATTTACCGGCGCTTTGGTGGGATATTTCTTGCTTCTAAAATTGATAATTTTAAGGAATTTTCCAGATGATATTCGTTCTCCAAATTAGGTTTTGCTGTCCTTCGAAGACTGAAATCAAAATGTAAAAAAATATGTTAGATGAGAATGAAAACATAATTTTTCGTTTCTCAATTACCGCTAGATATATTAAGAATTTGCTACACAAATACAGCATTAGTCTGGAAAATGAACTATTTCGAATAAGAAAAATACTAGAAAATAACATATTCATGTGACATATTACGACTAATACTCATCAATAAAACGTACTAAATTAAGATTATTTTCATGCGCATAAAGCCTTTTTCAGAGAGCTTCAGAATATATGGGAGGAAATTTGATTGACTAGTTTTAAAAATCAGGTTCCGACTATTGTAGATTCAAAATAGAAGTTAGCGATATAAAAGTTCGTATTCAGAAATATATTTAAAAAACGCATTTCTGTGTAAGCACTAGTGATAGAGTCTGACTATTTACATCAAAACATAAGGTCTAAAATGGTGAAGATTTGAAGATCAGGTAGAGTTTCATTTTCCAGAAGAAGTTCTGTTCGAACCAACTGTGTTTTAGCTCAACATTAACACTCGCCAACCTTCATGCTTCACCCAGAGTGCCTTCGGCATCATTCTCTGTCGAAGCCTTACAACCCGAAAATTTATCATTTTTATGTCTTTTTTGCCAGCGTCTAACCTAAGTTGTAGTTCATTTTCGGCTCCCCGTCTTTTTACGCGGTCTACCAACAGCAAGTCCTTACGGATTAAAACTCCTGAACCCTTTAGTTTATGCCCATTCTGTAAAATTAAGTCGCGTTCGTTCGAAGATTTGAATACTACTTTAAGCAGTCTGGATCGATTAGGTTTCAAGTTCGCTTGACTACCTAGTCTGTACACATTTAGCAAGGTCACTCCGGAGATATTTTGAGGCATGAGTTGATTAAGTAGCTGTTTTATCAGCACAAGTTATGCTCAAGACGAGTTTTTTGGTTCAGAGCTTTCACTTTTTGATTCTATGAAAAATAACTGATCTGTCACTGTGATCAGCCTTCGATTTCTCGACTAGTTTTAAGGGGGCAGGATTGCTTGGAGAAGCAACCACAGTCGCGCCTCGGTTAGCAATCTGTTTGCATCCGAACAGCACTGTTGACAAAGCCCTACGCAACCGTTTTTACTGAACCGTTTGAAAGCTGCAGGCGTTAAATTCGTGCAAACTTCGTGGTACCAGCCTTTGCACTCATCGCACTGTATGCCACTTTCAACGGGATAACGACAGCCCAGACATTGGGAATTGCTTTTTTGCACTGTCCAGTCATTAAACAGGGGTTTTTTAAAAATAAAGAACTAGATGCAATAATACTCAGAGACAAAAATGATCTTTGACCAAAAAAGTGGAAAACTGTAAGTTGTTAGAACCAGAAGTACTAACAGATACAATAGAAAACAAAGTACTCAAAGGTACCGACGACAAACTACTTTAGATGTAATTTTATTATTTATTTCAACTAGTTTTGTACATTCACAAATATTTGGATAAACATATATATATATATATATATATATACAAACAACATGAAATTTTCGAAAGATGAACTATCTCTTCTACCACTTTTTTATGTTTCTTCTTTACCGGTTAACAAAAACTTTAACGAAGTAAATAAATAATGGATGTATTACATACAAACAGGATATAGTTTAAATGACCTGAGGATTCATCTATAAATATATTCATATGTAGTCATATACATAGATGGATGCATATGTGTCTACATGTTTCAATATATTATCCGTGTGCAGTTTTCACTTCAAGGTCAGTGAACAATTTGGTCATTGATCAACATGTAAGAATGAAAAAAATTGATTGTGTTTAACAGTAATGAATCCAAAAGAATAGATAATGTTATATATATATATATACAAGAGTGAAAACCGTATAACATGATCACAACAGGAATCCTTGAATGAAAACGAAGCAAGTAATTGTTTGAAATTCTGTACAATGATTTCAAGAATTACTATAGATAATTTATATGAATTAGTAACTAAACATTAATGGATACACTCAATATCTTGATTGATTTAATTTACTGTCAAAATTGAAATATATTTGAATAAGAAATTTTAACTGTTACAGAATTCAAACCGTCAATATATAGAAATAAACTATTTTAAGACATAAGCTATAAGAGATCAAGTGGAGTAGAAATTAAATTAAGAAGATTAAAATATACAGATTTTAAAAAATAATAAACTCAGTATTCTAGAAATTAATAGCTAGGACTTTAAATGTATCCCATCAAATATTTCATCTATGTGTAATCTACCTAGAATGAAAGTGATGTCATTCATTCAAATTCACGTCAACATAACAGCTTCATGAAAATTTTTTTTACACTACTACGGTTTAATTAGACTTCATGAATTTTAGGAAGGCTGTCGATTTCAAGTTTAACAGCATCAAACAAATCTTAAATATTTGTAAACAGTTAAGTATTAATGTTATTCATAAGACGTGACGAAACATTTAATGAGCTCGTAAAGCTAGCTCAAGTTCTATGTTCTACACTATTAACTCAATCCAGTAGACTTGGACTATTTGTAATAGTATGAACGAGTCTATTTACCAGGGCAAATAAAGCTATATATATATATATATATATATATATATATATATATATATATATATATATATATATATATATATATATACACTTTCCAAAATACCCACAGCTACATTAGTCCTGATGGGTTGATATCTAACAAAATCTTTTCATGAATTGAAACAGCTCTTTTGGCCTTTGATGGCTTGAGTCACTTGTGACGTAAGCAAGATACCCGTCTGCTAACAAAAGAATTAGTAAACATATCAGTAGTGTTCCCAATACCACTCTATGACTGTAAAATGTGGTCCACAACCCTATACTGAAAAAAGCAGAAGACATGCGTAGTATGCAGAGTTTTGATTATATGCCTTTGAAACACTACTCTATGTTTGAAATACACCCAAATACAAACGTTTTCAAAGCAGTATTGGACACAAATAAATTTTGTTTGTTCTAAACCTATCTGGAAAAATTCCACAATAGTTTGTAAAGAACCATCTAAACTATTTGCAAGAATTCATTTGTATTGGTTGCATGAATCTTCATATTGATGTTTTGAATGTCACTTGATCAGTCAAGCATTATAAGCAAAGATGACCTTAAGTTAGAACAGACATAGGTTATTATCAATAAATCGATCGATCAATGAATTGTGTGTATAATATTCAGCTAAAAATCAATATCTAAAAAACATAGAAAATGCTTTTCGCAGTTAATAATGAACAAATCCGTAAGATAAACTATTTACTACAAATTTCATTAATGGTGTCGGTTAATTAATTATGGATGATATGAAAGTAACCTTTGTTAAATGCCAACTCACTATTCAAGGAACAATTGACGCCAATCGAATTTGACTTGAATTTCACTATTTAGTGATTAAATAATATTAAGAAATAGTTTACTGGTGATATGTTTGTAACTTTACTACTAATATTTATCAAAAAACTATAATATTTAAGTTTTGAATTACACAATCTACGTAGGAACAAAGCACAATAGTAAATGGAAATGTGATATTAGGTAATAAAATTAAAGAATAATTTGATATCTCAAGTTGACTAATTCAATGCTTCATTTGCTTTATTCACTTGACATTGCATATTGAGGTTTACATTCACTTTTAATTTAAAGCATCTGTCCTAATCATTGTAAAAAATATCCTAATTTAGCCTAACCGATTCTCTATTGGTTACTTCATCGAATTATGTATCAGTATTATGTATCGTATGTATGTATTACATCACTAAGGTCTAAGGTTAAAAGCAAATTTTCAAACAAATAGAATAAAATGAAATAAAACTCTGTTCTTATAAATTAACTCTTGCTTGACAATCTAGTGTAGAAAAGTTGTAAAAAGGAAGACATTCACTCCCCTGTAATTAGGTCTCATTTTCAACTATTCAGTTAAATGACTTACTTCCAAACTTACGGTAATTGTTAGCTAAGAAATGCAGATTCACATTGGTTGTGAACTCATGAAATTCTTAATCTATATGTTCATACAATACTTTAAATTATATCTACTGTTCAGTATTAATCTTAGTATAATATACTAAATATCTATACCTAAAATATATTTTAAATAGAAAGACAATGTTTAGTCCTTACAATGAATTACTTAAACATTACATATGGTGGAAACGCCCCAGTCAAAGCGAGATTGACATAAGTTGGTTGATAATAAGGTGAAACAATGTTAATATCAGCGTTAGTTAGTAAAATAGGGAATAAAAATGGATTTTGACACAATAACAACTATCTTATTCAATTTCAGAAATACTAAAATATAAATCTAACTAGAGAAAATATACCAACCATAACTTAAAAATTCGAAAATAATTCTATAAAAAATTGCGCTGAAAAAGAGTTCATTAGGAAAGCTGATATCAGCGATGAAAACTCTTCAACGAATTTAGGACATTTGAAATATAAATAAAGTGCAATTTTTCAACTCCTTAAAACTGTATTTAATAACTAAACTATTCAACTCAAGGATAGTTCGTTAGTCAATTTGCTAACTAGAACTCAGAACAGAATATTCCTTATAAACTTGTAAACAAATATTTAAGATACATGTTTTGCCTATTAGTTTCCATCTTCAAACAGATGGAACAATCTTTTGGTATAAAAGACAACTAAGTCAATAAATGTTAATAACATCTAGAGAAAATAATACCGTATAACAACTTCGTATCAATTATATTACCGATAAAATGAGTACAATTGAAGCTCCAGTGTCTATATAGATGGCTCATAGAACTATGCAAGAAACTTCAAATACTAATCTGATCTTCTAAATGAAGAAAGGTTAGTAGTATTCTTACTCTTATATAATAGGTATAGCTGACAATGTATTTAGTAAATATAATAAGTTAACAGTAGAACTTCTACTTTTCCAATAGACAAAAATACTGTCAAAAAAAGTCAAGGCCTTAGATGAATAATAATAGTATACAACAAAGTACAAAAGTGATCCGGTTTGTTCTTATGAGGATAAATACATTCAACTGAATAAAATAATAAGTATTATAATGATTAGAAACCTATACTATTTAAAGCGATTACATGTTTACTTCATGAATAAGTTGAGAAAATGATAAAAATCAACATCCTACTCGAGAATTAAAAAGTCTGTTGATAGCTTAATCAAATCAATACAATAATATAAAGTTCACCATGAACATGAGAATATTTACAGAATGTTTTTTAAACTCGGACAATGAAAATCCTATTGACATAATTCCTTACTTGACTAACATTATCAGTAAAGAGTTAGGTTCAAGTTGAAATTACATATATTTCTTACTGTCAAGAAGACCAATTGATTATAAATGCCAATGTAGAATCTATCTAATTTGCAAATGTACAATTATCTGCACACCTATTTCTTTCATAAAACAACAGAACCAAAGTGTTTTTGTAACGAAATCTGACAAATAAGAATAAAAATCAAAAATACCCTTCACCATTTTTTAATTTGACATGATGATTTCCTGCTTATTAAGAACATTAAGCTAGATAAAGCCTTAACATTTCATGCTGTTATATAACGAATCAAAGATAGAAAAATGACACATATATATGGATAGTGCCATACATTTAAGATTTTTGATACTGGATGTAAAGCCTCATTTGTAGAAAGCACAAATGAATATATATATATTACCTGTTTTAGATCTCCTTGATGTTTAGGAATACAAGTGATCAGAGCAAGAGTGTGTAAGATTCTGTTAGAAATTACTCTTCGTAAAACAAACTTTTATTTTAAAACGTCTGAGTTTAGTGTTATCACTATGGATTTCTTGATGAAGAATTTAATCAAAATTAGGAAAATTTCAAATGTCTAGGTGATATTACGTAAAAATGTATTTTTTTATGATAACCAACTCATAATAAAAAAACACCTAGCAATAATGTTTACGATCATTATTTTCTACTTTATTTTATCAATCTGATTATTCTACCTAATCCATTTGACTATGACGAATGAAATGATATTCATCATTTAAGTTAACAACTTGACCGATAATCACGTAGGTGTTTATTCTATGATTATGAGCTAATAACAGATTTTATCAAGGTAACTAAAAATTATAACTTAGTCTCTTACTATGAAAATGTTGCCAAATTACGTGTCATGTGATAAATAGTATACAAATTGAATATTGAATCGAACGTTTTAAAGTGACTAAATATTGTTTTACGCTATTTTAAGTGATGAGTAAATGATCAAGTCATTTTAAGAATCGAATTCGATAATTCCTTTTCTTGAACAAAACAACTGAATAAGTTCATAAAAATATAATAAGCGAAACATTATAACACCAAACGTGGATACTGTAAAATAACCCTATTAAACTAAGTTAATCAATTCAAAATAGTTTTAAATGATCGAAATCAGGATTTTCTAAATAAGATTAAAAAAATTTCTTACTTTAATGAACCAACCCACAAATCATTATAGTGTTTCCGTGATACCTCCGTGAGTGTAATCGAAGATGATGTTTTCTGAAAATAACTAACAGCTTTTCTTTTTCCCCAAAAAACTGGAAAAAAGTCAATTAGTTGTCTAGCATATGAACGAGAATTAGCTGATGGTAAAGACCGACTTCCATATTCAAGTTCATTTAATACACGACAACTATCATATGATGACATAGTGATAAGAGAAGAATAAACTACTCCACAAGTATTTTTATCACATTTATCCTTGTAAGGTTCCATATCGAAAATATCATTAGTGCTGAGGCTCATGGGATTTTGTTTTGATTTTGAATTTGATTCCAGTGTAAATGTTTGTTTATATAAAAAATCACTAGATTTCATGTCATTCAACTGATCATTTATTACAGTGGTCATCTCCAGGTTATGAATAAAAATTCCTTAATACATATAAGAAAGGCTTCGATACATGTATAAGAGTAAATTCTTCGTCACTGTAATGGTAAACACGTGGCTTGTCCATAATGACATTTCACATAAATTGTCGGATTAAATCAGCCTGATTATTAACCAACTTAAAAAATTTAACCAATCATATAATGACAGTTCAGTCAACCAAATAACTTTAGTCTCTACATACAAATATTATTGGTTGAGATAATCTGTGTAGTAAAAGGTGTGTGGGAAATGTTGATGTTTACACAATTGAATACATTTTTGCATTTATTTGACTATTAAAGTCGGATAATTTAACACATATGACAGCAATTAGCTCGAAGTTATTTACACAATTATTAGTTAACAAACATGCCAAAAATATAATATTTTTCTTTTTATAAAACTAAAGTTTACCTTTTTATCCATCTAGCACGTGATTCCCAACTCTCTGTAGCAAATATATGAGTGAATAAAGTTTTATCTTCTAAGCATACATTTTTTTCTATAGAAGTCATTTGTACAAGTGGGCCAGTAAAAACAAAACAAAATGGACGACCACCAGTTAAACTTTGATGTATTGTGCTAACATTGATTTTGCCAGGTTGAGCAAGAGAATATACAAGTGTTGAACTAAGATCACATTTACTATTATTATACTTAAAGTCAGTATATTGTAATGATGAAGTACTCGGAAACAGAGAATTTCTTGTAATTAAACAGTTCTGAAGTGAAATATCCCTATTGGGATTGTAATAGCTGAAAAGGGATAAAACAATTTCGTAAAATTCAATACTGAAAAACAAAATGAAGGATAAAATAATGTATTATAAGAAGGCTATTATTTTCATACATTTTCCTGAATCTGTGAATGCATTAAATAACCACTAGTGGGTTAAAATAACCTAAAATACGTTTAATTACAGATTTTTGTTACGGAATAAGTGATTCTATGTACTTGAACACAATCTCTCGCACAAAACATAATCCATAAATCATCAGACAGTCATGATGGACATAGATCATGGGACAAATGTATCTGGGTGCAAGTTCCCATAACACATTAGCACAACCAGATAAATCTAACAACACAAATGACAAACAAGTAGAAATAATGTAGTAGCAATGATTATGAGAAAGACCAAACATTGAGAACATGGTACGAAATAACAAGATGAATGATTTATATGAAGGAATAGCGAAAGTCGAGATTTGGAGTAAAATAAAACGTCAATACATCTGCTTCACTTTGACTAATTCTGAGCTACATCACTCGGTGATCTTCATTGATAGATCGTGATGGTTTTGTTTCCATTAACCTGATGGTCTGGAACTGCCTACTGTGCAAAGATCAATCAATGACTTCATAAATTGATGACAGGTTTTGCTTTGGCATTACCGAGCTTCCCTTGCCTAGGTAAGCGATGATTAGGCATACATAACACATACCCAATCACACCACTCGATGAAGATTCACAACATGATCGATCGATTTTCTATCTTTTCGCAATTTCCCTATGCCGAAACTCAGAATTGCTGGCTCATATCAAAACTTGCTAGGCATTACTAGGAATATCTCTCTATTTTTGTCTAGTTGTCATACATAAAATGTTAAGACGACAAGAAGACCAATCATAAAGAAATTTAATTCATTTCAGAAGTTATCAGTTTGGCTACAATTGTTATTAACCGTACAGAACTAAATTTATTACTGCTAAATACTGTCGTGCCTAATAGAGATGGAAACAGTTATCTGGTCACTCCAGATAGATAAAAGGAATCTAAAAACCTCTTTAATGATCAAGAGTATAGACAGTATCAAAAATCCACTTGATGTTGTTTGCTTATATCTTCCGATTATTACTTAGGATTACAATTGGCAGATGTGCATCCTACGCGGGCTGCCTCGATATTGCCTTAAATCACAAGCTTTAAAAGCAACGGTGGATAGTGGCTAGCAGTGGAATCCGGAACGTGCGTTTCGTCCTATTTGAGATTCTTCGGCTGGATATACCTACATCTCAGAGTTTATGTTCACTATGGGACTCCAACCCAGTACCTTTCACTTCAAATGCCACCCCATTGCACCAGCAGGTGACTATCTGGACTCAATAACTAAGTGGATAATGTTGTGACTTTAAGCCCGGCTAGTTATCACATGATTTATTCGTCAATCGGAATACAACTTATTCAATCTTAGTATTGCGATAAACCAATGACGTTCGATTGGTATGAGCAGCCTAGCCTCCTTATTGGTCCTTAGTTCGCCCAGCTCATCCCGTTGAACCCAGAACATCAATAACAGCTTCAAACATACTTGGTTTATATACTAGCCAAACAGACCGCATCACACCATAAAGTAGGAAATAACATTTATACAAGATCAAGCCAAAAAGAGGCTGTGAAGGTGGAAGATGGTAGTTAATAAACTGAACATAAATTAGGAACAGTAAGTCGTATAATAATAATTTGTAGGTTAAAATGAAGCTTATAATTACATGAATATAGATGTACACAATCTAGTTACTGAATAGTTATACTATATATATATATATATATATATATATATATATATATATATATATATATATATATATCGTTAATACATCTCAAAAATTACTTTTAATTTGATCTTTACTAGGATATAATAGATAACGCGATGGTTTCTGAAGAGAACAGTATTGGGTTCGAGGCCCATAGTGAACATGAACTCTGAGATGTAGGTTTCTCCAGCCAACAAGTCCCAAATAGAACGAAACGCGCTGCTAGCCACTACTCATCATTGCTCACAAAGTATCAATGATCATTGTACCGTATAGCCTTTCGTAAAAATTTCAACCAATAACATTTTGAGTAGCATTATTTGACTAGCATTATTGTATTTAACTTGTAGCATTATGCTACATTTATATTACATAAAAAAATATCTATTTACAGTATTCGAGACTACAACAGCACTACATCAAATAAAATTTCGATTTGATATAACCCATAAATTAGAACATTTTATTAATTGAACTAAAATACTTACGTTTTATTTTCTTCCGTTTGTATTGATGTATTTTTAGGATTTTTACTATCATTACTAAATGGTAAATAAATATTATCTGATGAAATATGAGATACTTGTTGAAATTGTGATTCCATCATGAATATTGAATTTTGTTTAAGTTTATTCTTAGAATGTTCAACATTTCCATTTGAATTCACTGATGATGAGGATGACAATAAGGAATTAGTTGAAATGAATGTTGATTTAGGATTATTATTATTTGATTTAATTTGTTGATAACTTAAACTTCGTTTAAATGTATCAAAATGATTCGATATATAATTGTTATTTCTGTTAAGATTCTGAGGTGAATAGTGAATAAATGATTTTAGACTTCGTCGTCTCTTAATTTTTCGCTGTCTTCTGCGTATACTTCTTAGATGATTGATATCATTTTGATTAATATTGTCACTTGACATATTTTTCCCATTTAATAAATGAATACATTTAACTGAAATTGATGGAGATGATGAGAATGTTTGTACTTTCGGTATTTCAGTATATGAATCCATAAAATTACCGTTTATTGGATCTTCTCTAATAAAACTGAAATACATAAAATATTTTTTAAAAAAAATCTCAGGAAATTAGCTATTTTATGTTGTACACTACTTATTTTTAGATATAAGTAGCATGTGTAGATTGCATTTAAAATTTATTCTATCCTGTACATCAAATGCTTTTGCGAATAATAAAGATGAGTTACATATGACTATCGATATAACCTAAACTACAAACGCCATCTTAAAGTTTTGTACTGATAAATCGAATTATTGATTAAATATATGGATCACCTAGCTAAAAGACTCATAGTCACATATATTCTTATATATTCCCATATATACTCACAAAAGAAGTATTTATTTATTTAGTCATGTAGTTAGAATCTAAATCATTAATTAGAAAATATTATCATATTATTGATGATTTTTATCCTTTTAATAAATCTGGTAAAATTATTCAGTCTATCATTTCAATTTGCTTTCTTCACTTTTGGCAATCACGTTTTAACCAGACAGAATATTTACTTTTCCATTCCATCTGTTGATGAATAGAGAATGTAAAATCCTTAAAATATAATAAATAAGGAAGAAATTAACTGGCCTATTTATTTAAGGTTATTTTCATTCAGTTTAATTTTAATGCATATTCACTACATGAATTAATTCCGTACGGATTCTATTCACTGGATTACATAACTTTTTCAATTATATTGATTAAGTCATCATGATCATGAACTCAAGTGATAATCGGTAAATTCTGTGAATTATGATTATTGAATTTAATTAGTATATAACCAAGTTAATCTGAATGTAAATCAAATATTTTTTGGTTGTCTACCAAATATATCTTCTATAAAATATCGTTATTTGAGGTACTCGAAGTTGAGAAGAAATGTGTTGCATTCTGGTATCAAGGTGTCGTGAGAATTGTTGCCATATAGTAAACATCACAATATCCCAACACGTATTTGGAATCTCTCAGATTTACATTTATTTCTCACTTCAGCTAAAAGTGATATCGAATTATTAATTTAGATTTAAAAAAATTTGTTGACTATAAGCTTATTCTATTTGTTATATAAGAGATATGAATGACATTTAACATTGTACTTCGTATAGATAGAACCATATTCAATCTAGTAAACAATGATAATATTTATACATCGAAATGTTAATGAAACTTGAACAAGACAATAAAAAAAATAATAAAACTAATTACAAACAACCGACGTTTCTATCTGTAATCAATCATGTATGTAAGATGGGAAAATAATTTTTTTAAAACAAAAAGAAGCGGAGATTTAAAAAACCCTAAATAAAGAATGGACGAACAATTTGATAAAGGTTGCATGAATCTGAATATTATGTCATGTGAATGATATACTTTACTTATTAGTGAAACTGACATCTACTTGCATAATTACAATAATTAAATTTATTATAGAGGACAATGTAGTTTAGCCAAGATTTTCAACAATTCAATATACTTGCAATTAACTTGTCTTGCCAAGACGAGTAATATTCAATCGAGATTTCCACTTACTAATTCTGTTTTTGAATTTCAAAAGTGAAAATAATTGTTCGCAAATTTATCTTAAAAAGTAGAGGTTTTAAGTGCAAATATTTTCGGTTTATGAGACTTATTTGTTTTCAATGAAGAATAGAATTCATTCATGTTTAATATTTTTGTTTGGACTGTTGTCATCTTCAATGGTTTTTAGTCAAATCTGAAGATTATGGTTAACTGCTTCAATTTTAAAAGAAGATAGGATAGTAAGTAAATTAAATTTTAGTTCAAATATTGCAAAATCTTAGGAAGTTTTTAAAAGTCGTTATGGTGTGTTAAAATCTAGCGACTATATTGATTATCAGATTCCTTCAAAACTGTTAGTGTCTGTTGTTAAGATATGAGAGTTGTTGTGAAGTGTCATGTCACCTTGAAATATATATGAACTGTTTTACTTCCATTATGCATATTTATGAGTGAACTCGCACTCCATATATATCTTAGGTACTACGATATATTCACCTCTGACTCAAAGAACTATAAAACATTCACATAAAAATATTCTAACTGGTAAAAACACAAAATAACCTCATTGATCTTGTCATTATTATTTCTTAAAGTGCATGACTAAACGGAAATTTTGTGTGTGGTAATTTTAAAATTGTCTAGTGCTCCCATAAACAGTATTAGGATAAATTGTTTGAAAAGTATTGCTCATTCATCAATTACTAAATTTTAATTATAATACATTATAGAAAAAGAACACCAAGAAATTCATATACAGTTTCAAGTATTTTCATGACTGAATCGTGGCTATTAGATACAGATTATGGCTAGTAGGAAAAGAGTTTACGATGTTTACTGTTTATAGAAATTCAATTCCACTTAAATTAATATCACAACTAACTGATCCAGTTGAATAATTAATATACTAAAACGTTGGACGATCAGTAATCTTCTATATCGATTATATCCAAAAACAATGTTTCATTGCACTTAGATGTACGTTTCTATTATCGAATAATTATTCAGTTAGGGCATAAAATAGTCACTAGGTGGAATATATGAAAATTAAGCTCCACAACACTTTCTCATTTTTGTAGACATAAAAAACATAACTGATTGAAATTATTTAGTTTCGATTTAATTCATTATCTTTATTGAAAGGAAATCAAAACACCTATTTAATGGTATTTATCTCCATATGATTAGTTAGCCAAATGTCTTCATTAGACCAAAACACAATAGTATCTTATTAATCTCATATTTTTACAATAGTATTTAATTTTGGCCTCCAAAGTCCGAGCAAGTATATGCATCCTTTAAACAGCAGATTATTTTTACAATGTTTAGTAATTTCAACAATTAAATAGCTTTTACTGCTGTACAAATTTCAATCCAGTGTTGCAAGCTCTCATTCTGTTCTAATTCTCCAACCATAATATGATAAGTAGTGTCTGAGAGTGTGTACGTTTATAACCTGAAATGTTTGCGCTTCTAAACTCAATCCCAAAATCATTTACTTTGTCTTTTTAAGATGGCGCCGTGTGAGCCCGATGTCAAGGATATATGTAACATCATCCTCCATTTTCAAAGATCATGTCTAACAGTTTTAAATTAAAATATTGCACAGTAAATCATTCATGAAATATTTCACCTTTATCATGGGTTTTTTAGATTGGAAAAACGTTGATACTTTGCACTCCAAAAAATTTCTGGCTTTAACCTTATGGCCTCTATATCTCATAATGAAAAAGTTGACCTTAAATAAGTGAGATTTAATAACGCTGATCATATTCAACGTATGTGTTTGATATAAATACATATGAAGATGAGGAATTGACAAAAGCTCAAATACAGAGGGGAAAAAGTGTAATATTAGATGGGTTTAAAGTGTTAACAGTCATAATAAGTCAAATATATAACAAATGTTCGGTGCATTTTCATTCTCAAGGACTTTTGGAAACTGTTTCGCAGATGAACAGTTTAACTAATGGTGAATTCAAAAACTAGTGGATAACATTAAATGCTGCACTACAATTGAATAATTTGTGAAAAACGAGTTAAAAAACACTCACTAAATCCAGTTACTATTTGGATCTATGTAAGTTATGCTGAGATTACTATGCACCCTTGGTCGCAGTGGTGAAATCCAGTCACCTCACACGTTCTATAGCATACAGTGAAAAGTTTAAGACACCAAACTGAGACATGGGGGACAGCGATTCAAAACAAAAAGCGGAAACAAATAATTTGACATTACATAATTTTTATTTGTTTGTAGATAATTCTCTAATTTAGGTACTATATATATTAAGAAACGAATATGTTTTACCTACTTACACTATTAAAGTAGTATAACTCACCCATTGAAAGTTCTTCGGTTTGCAGAGAGCACTGAGGGATGGACGTGAGTTTGTGTGTGTTCTGTTTGACGTGAAAAATGATTTTTCATACGAAACAGAAACTGTGGACAAAAAGTATAAAAATAAGACGGAATATTAACAAATCACAATCATGTTTAATAATTTTGACTAAAATTTCACTGGATCGCATTATAACTAATTTATTTTGAAAATTACATATCGTGGCTCTACCATTAACAGCTGCTTAACGTTAAGAAGAACATTTGCCTAGTAATTACGATATTGAAAAATTCCCGCGCGAAAAATAAAATGCAACATAATATGCTCTACTGCCTCATCCGAATGAATGAAGAACGTCTTGTGAAATTTTTACTCCTTGATCAGTCGACATACCACATTCTCCAAGTGTCATTTTACAGTGTTTCGTTTAAAGGGATAATTTTATTCAATACTGGGCGACTTTAAAGTATAATAAGCTTTTCACAGACTTATGGAGCGTATAGATATATTGTGATTTTTTCTCTCCTCACAAAAGCTGACGTAGAATATCGTTTATATGAAAAATTTCCTCATTTACAACTCGAAGATTTTAATCTTTGTTGTCTTATTTGTATTTGTTTTATTGATTCCTTGTATGACGTTTCTTAGTGTCAATAATGATACCAAAACTCACTGTTATGAAGAATTCAAAATATAAGTATGATATTGAACGATGATTTGTTTGGGGAAATACAACAGCATATTTTCAAAGCATTGATAAGGAAGGCATTTTTGATAAGACATTGAAAATACCTTATTTTTCCACTAATGGAATTAAATTATAAACAAGATAAAGTAGACCTTGTAATGATGTTACTCATCAATGTTAAGGTAGAAAATCGTATGGTGTCTGGATACGCATTTTTCGCTAATTAACAATGCCATTATATAAACCGAATGTATGATACACCGATACAGAGAAATAACTAGATTATTTTGCTTAACGATTTTTATTTCCCATTCTCTAATAAGTAAAAACAACCGGTACTTACGCCTGGTACTCCCAATGGAGCATAAGCCGCCGACCAGCATTCTTCAACCCACTCTGTTCTGGACCTTCCTTCCAAGTCCTATTCAATTTTTGTTCATTTTTCTCATTTCTGTGTCCATTTCTCGGCGTAATGTGTTCTTTGGTCTTCCGCTTTTCCTTTGGCCTTGAGGATTCCATGTCTTGTGACGCAGTTCGGTGCTTTCCTCAATGTGTGTCCTGTCCACTTCCAGCGCTTCTTCCTGATTTCTTCCTCCACTGGGATCGGGTTTGTTCGCTCCCATAGTAGGTTGTTGCTGATAGTGTCCGGCCAACGGATCCGAAGTATTTTGCGTAGACATCTGTTAATAAACATCTGTATCTTCTGGATGATGGCTTTCGTAGTTCTCCAGGTTTCCGCCCCATACAGTAGAACTGTCTTGACATCTTTATTGAAAATTCTGACTTTGGTGTTGGATGACAATTGTTTCGAGTTCCAGATGTTCTTCAGTTGTAAATATGCTGCTCTTGCTTTGTCGATCCGCACCTATATATATACTTTATAGATTTGCTTTTTTGATTTTGTAATTTTAGACAGAAAATACTGAATTACTTATGTGATCTTTGTGTACTTTCCAGTTATCACTTGATAAGTCTCTTTATAGTGCAGTTTCAGAATCGATGTTTTGCGATTAGATAATAAAAAATTTTTACAAAAATTTACCGTTGAGATACTGTGTATCTAGATGGCCTAATACTTCATCTTCGAAATCTATGTAAAGTAACTATCGAGAATAAAAATGTAACTAAAATGACCAGTTTTTGTAGAATCACTGAACATGATATTTTTATGTAATTTATATTTCGCCTTATATATAGGATAATTTTATTTCTATAAACCGACATTTCAAATATTCCTATGTAGGTGTTTGTCTTTAAAAGTCATTTTTGGCTGAATTACAACTGAAATTCAGGAATGATAGTAAATTTAAAAAAAAATTTTAAAAAATGAATTATCATAAGCAAACAGAACCTGTAGATAGCAGTGAAAATGTAAACTCATTGTATTGCTATATGCATTAGATTGAATCAGTTAACTTCAAATTAATGCCAAGTATTATGATATTCAGGTAGTTTATCTTGATTTCATTTCCTGTCTTCAATGTTATTTAAACATTTAGACGAATAATTAACTGTCATCAAACTCTAATGCCTTCGATAACTGCTTATACCTTTACTACCTCTACCACTATGAGATTTGAATCAACAATCGTGTCTCTGTGCTAATGTGGTGGGGCAACTCGAACTGATATCCGTGCGTACGAAGTTCTACGTTGTCACTGACTAGTCAGTACAGTGTTATATAAAGTTCAGTAGTCCCGTTATAAACAATATAAGCTCTGGTTTCAGTGTATACCAATTCATATAGCTACACAACAGATCAGTGCAATATGATTGGTGATTAACGAGAGAAAAGATTAATACTAACTGCATTGGCAAAATGAATATAAGAAAAAGCTGAATAAGATAACTAAGGTCAAAGGACGAAGAGTATTGAATGATACAAATTTTGACATTGTTATCAAAAAAATAGTGGTCATTACACAGGGGTAATCTGCGTACCCTACACCTATCCCAGTGGTGCCAAGTTCAGATTATTTTATGTAATGCTGTGGTGTGTTCAACTTATACAAACAGATATAAGTAGCATGTTTCAGGAAATGGAAATAGGTTTCTTCCTGACAGAAGAGGAAGACGAGGAAAAGAGAAAAAGAAAAACGAAAGTAGTCAAAGTAAAATCAGGAATGTAAGAACGATGAATTTTGTAAAAGACAATTCGAGGAAGTTGTGCAAATAGTGTATACGATGTATTATCTTCATATCTTACAACTTTGTGATTCTGCTTAATACAATCAATTAGTTTCACCTACTAGAGTATTCATTCACTAAAATACTTCAAACTGTAGATTAACATTGCCACACGATTCAAAACTACAAACTTCTTATTTACTAAAGCGGATCAGCCCAATAATCAATTACTTCATTAATTAATGTCATATCTTCGTATGGTTACCAAAAGCTAACTCCAAACCTAATAATTATTAATAGTATAAAACATGTCTCTTTTAAACATGGAAAACATTTTCACCATGTATTATTCTAATATCAATGGAATTTGATCAGAACTTATGTATTCAATCTTTCATTAGTATTGTAATGAACGAAAACATAGAAGTGGGGATAAATAAATGTATCTGAATACAAAATTACAGAATATCTTGGTAAAATATGTGAACCATACATTGAATACATTATTTACAAATTTCCGTTTCTATTCTCTTCAATCCAATCATCTTAGCCATCTGCTGCCAGGGTTTTCACCTCCAATTGATGTCACATATTACTTATATCTATTGACATATGTAGCATACACCACAGTATCATTAGCCGAATTTTGTATAAAAAATTGTAAAACATTTTATAGAATGAACAAACAAAAGCTAATTACTACCCACCTACACATAAATTATTCATTAATAAATGACTAAGTTTATCAATGTTTGTTAATTACACAATATTTACATAAATAGTTTAATTATTCCGCCAAATTCATAATATATAATGAACAGATTGATAAACTATACACCATCATAATGAATCATCATTTAATATTAATTCTATTAAAGTTTATGCATTTATCTGGTTATCGAGTTTGTTTCCTTTTTCTTTTCAACTAAAATTCTATAATTCAATGGCTAATAGGATCTTATCAAGTATTATCAAGTATCAATCTGTTATATGAATGAGAAATTTACAAATGACTTTTACTGATGACAACTAGATTTTATTATATGAAATTACAACAAAGTCGAATTAAGCATTGGATACAGACACATGATTATGTAATAATTAAACATTCAGAAAAAAACTAAATAAGATGACCAATTTTTTTATGTTTTAGCTTTAATTAAGTTTAATTCATGAGATTGAAGTTATCAATGATACTATTAAAGGGTATAAAATTAAAAGAAAAAAATTATTTTTAAAATTGATAAATGAATTAACAATATGGTAACCACTTTGGATAATAAATCAGTATTGCCAGAGTAGGTTAAGAGTAAGGACAAACTGTTTTTGGACACATAAAAGAGGTTTCAGTTTCCGTATAACCAAGGCTTCAATAAACCTTAGTATACGTCCTTGAAGTTCAATGGCCAAATAAGATCACAGGATAGACAGACAACATCCTCCATTGCGAAACATTTGATTGAAACTAGTCATAAGGTGAACATCAAATCAGCATTTATAGTGTTGTACAAAAGCCTTCAAGGACGTATACTAAGGTTTATTGAAGCCTTGGCTATACGGAAACTGAAATCCCCTTTGTGCGTTCAAAAACAATTTGTCCTTACTCTTAACCTACCCCGGTAATACTGACTTATTATCCAGAGTGGTTATCATATTATTTCTGTGTACTTTATTATTACTTTTTCTTTGTTAAGGCTTACCTTTAATCTGTTTAGTTGACCTTTTAATTTTCATGTAAAAATGCCTTAACAAGTGTATGTGTGATCAGAATGTTCGAAATGCATTGCGCAAAGATATCACATAATACTCATAAACTTCGTCTTCCTATTGCGTTATCGAAATTTACCAAAGGGACTAATTATTTTAAATGAATTAACCATAAACATAAAGACTGAACAAGATTTGTACAATATAAACTGAATCCAATTTTTCTATGTTTAAATAGTTGTAACTTCTATGAACTGAAATTATAATGATTTATATATAAGAAATTTTTTAATTACTCTCCAGATAACTTTGAATGATTAAGGTGGGAATTATTATTGTTATTATTATTATTATTGCACTTCACTTTTATTAAATAAACATACTAGTACTATAGTACTCAGAGATCCTCAGACATTTTTGTGTAAAGGTATATATTGAGTACTATAAGTTGTTTTTTTATGATCATGGATAGATGTCATGGTCCAACGCAGATCACAGTCCTATAGATTTCTTATCCTTTTGTCCGCTTTGAAATCGATATCATTTTATTATTTTGAATACGTTCATTCTCTGTTCACT